TCAAAGGATTTTCTCCACATTGCTGTGTTTTATGTCTAGCCAAAAATCATAGTTATTTAAGTAACCTTGGCTATTAGTTAAGAACTTTCATAACTAAATTTATTCTATACTGCAGTTACCCACTTGCATTCCCCCTAGTGCTACATCAGTAGAAGAAAAGACAACAAGGATTAGTTTTGCCTCCAAAATACACAGCATAATTTTCAGTGTTTAGTGGAAAACTTCCATATTGGTCTCAGGATAAAGCAAAGACAATCTGGGCTGTCCAGTCATGGCACTGACATCCATCCCTAGACATCTGTCAGAGACATCCCATCTTCTGGGACAGACTCCAGAGAAGGAAATACTGCAATTAACTACTTTGGCTACTTTGCCAATGGTATCTCCTTATGGAGATGAGACTTTTAGGAGTTATGTATTTGATTATAGTTAACTACTTATCCTATTACATATAGTAACATAACCTGTTATTTTGCACTTTATTAATGAAATATTTATTAGAATGAATCCATGAAGAACAAATTTTAAAACAGCATTTATACATCATGTGGCATTTTCATTGGGAAAAAACCCTCAAATAACATTTTCTTTTGGAAAGAATTACCAAAGTGATACTATGCTGTTTTGAACATGTTTCGATTTTTTTATTTTTGCCTCTTTTACGTAAGGCAACAAAAATTTGGATTAGAATCTCAGATGATCATTAACATGTCACTGTACAAAATCATCTTCTCCAGCACCTAAAAACTGAATTTTAAAAAAATTAACTTTTGGGGAGTTTTAAATGAAGCAAAATATCCTGATCCTACTTTGCTACTCAAAGCACTCCTTGTCAAACCTGACAGAGTCAGTGGAATCCCCAGTGCCTTGGTTTGCTGTGGGTTTTCAGCAGCCTCTGAAGCACCTCTTGGGTGCACAGGCAGCCAATATCCCAAAAACAGCAGCAAAGACACCAAGATTTTCCTCCTAACAATGAACTTTACCTTTCAGCTGCCCACCTCACTTTATGCAACCTACGAGAGTTAAAAAAGATCTTACTTGGCAAACCTGTCTTGAAGTCCAGCGCTCTCAGTGCCGTCAGGCAGAATGTCCATCCTCCAGGACCTTGGGTCTCATGAGGTGTTTTAGCTAACAGAGAGCTTTCATCTCGTTGGAGTGGTGTCCTCCCCACCCACAGGCTTGGGAAAGCTGGAACTGGTGAGAGGCAGTACAAAATGCAAAACACGGTGTACAAAATAACAGCATCCAGGACAGAGAACTGTAATGAAAACAGCTGTGAGGATACATACATAAACACAGATTTTTACAGCCCACTGAGCCAGTAAGAACATCAGAGAAATATATTAAAAGGGTAGCACAGGGGCAGGTAAGATGTATTTTGCATTTTTAAATTTTAAACTAATCACCAAAATAAATTACAGGAGAGAATAAGGTTAAAGAAATAGGGTTTTTTTGCAAATACCAGACAAAAAAAGAAAGGTGGAGAGGGATACCAGTTTTTTTATTCTCCTGGGTACCCACAATTCTGTTTTTTTTAGGAAGAAGTTTCCAGACTGAAAAGACAGCCATATTCAACTCTGGACCTCAGTTTAAACTGCAAACCAAACTAAACAGTAAAGAAAGAACACATTAAATTTTTCTTCCCAGTTTCTATGAAGGGGTGAGTCAGAAAAGAGAAACATGGTGGTGATGGGAGCTGATCCAGCAGCTGAACCACCTGCCAGCTAACCCCAGAGCTCTTCTTGTCCAACAGGGACACTTGCAACCACTGTGTATCATCCCCGTGCCTCTTCCCTGCTCTAACTGGACATTTTTGTCTGTGGAAAACCTGTGGCCAGAGGACAGTGCAAAGTCACAAGGTCACCACTCTGTGATACCCTTCTCCAGCTGATGGCTGTGAAGCTGTGGAATAGTCCTGGAGACATTGGAAAAAAACATTAAGAAGAAATCTTAAAAAGCAGAGCTAGAAGGAAAGCAAAGATTCAGAATTATTAAGGCAGTTCTTCCCTATAATATTTCTACATTTAAGCAATATCAAAGCAGCCTGAAGGCCCATGGTATATCTTCCTAGCACCATTTTTCAGTAATTTTGGACAGGTGAGCCTTGACTGAGAAATCACAAAATTTTGACTTCCTTCGGACAGGTGTGGTGCATATGAACACCCATGACCTTGTTAAGTCACAACACTGAGTGCCTGTCTAATAGAAAGAGACACTGAATTGTTGAGGACTTCCACCACAGCCTTCCAGGCCCCTAGAACAGGCAGAGAGGAATAAAGTGTCCACCAAAACCAACCATCAAGAGTCACTGTTGGAAAGCCCATGTCCAGTGAGGGGACATTGCCTTGCTCCTGGAAGGGACCCAGATGTCATCCCATTAACAGACACCAATTTCTTAGCATGGTTTAGAGGGAGAGCTGCACTGTCCTTGAGAAGTTCACCAAGCTGACACATCTGCTTGACCCAGTGATGAGGAGAAACTACTGAGTTTCTGCAAGTATGCCTCATAGCTTGAGTAGAAGTGGGAAGTTCAGCCAAGACCCTCGTGCTCCTACTAAAAAAGCTTTTTTGTATGCTTTTACTTGAGTCTCTTTGTTTTAATGAGAAGAACGAGAAGTAGTAATACCAGCACTGATTGTAGTAGCGGAAACAAAAAGAATTGTTTAGAGCTTTTGTCCAGGTCTTGTTTCCATATGGGTTCTCTGGTGTTTAATGACAGTTGAACTTGTATTACAGCCTTTTCCTTGGAAGAGATTGTCTTCTTCACTCCCTCTGCCTATTTCACCAAAAGTATAGCTCTGTTATCAGATGTAAGATATCATCAAACCTTGGCCTTCTGTTAAACTCAGTCAAATTGGCCACTAATTATAAAAAGTATTAGAGAGAGATGGCAGGCAGGGTACACAGTAAATGCACAGAAAATCTACTTCCACTACTTTTCCCCTTCCTCTTCCCACAGATATGTGGTAGGCTTGCAGTCAGAACACCACCACCAGATAAAGAGATCCTGTAAAAAGAGGGAGCTCTTTCCCTTTGTTGCCTCAACAAATTGCTTTCTACAGCAAGAGAGCTTCTGCCCATATGACCTCGCAGCCATTTTCAGCTCCTCCCTCCATCCAATTTGCAGCAGCACAACAAAGCACTCCAAAAATAACATTTATTTTTAAAAACTGGAAAATGGTACAAACCACCCCAAAGGAGAGAATGACAACGGCATGAGTTCAGTGCGGGCTCATGAACTGACGCTCCCCACCAGGGACAGGAAACTGGAACCTCATGGAAGGAGACTGAATGGAACCAGAGCGAAAGGAAGTGCCAGAGGCCGCGGCCACCGATGGCCAAATGCTGCCGAAAGGATGAGTCAGCCAGGCGGCAGCCCTGCGCTAGGGAGAGCGCCAGGACTGTCACAGCTCCGGATCTGGAAACGCTGCGCTCTGGAAGTCTGCACGCACAACAGGCTGGAGCATGCACACTCAGCAAGGAGAAATTTAAAGATGAGGCACATTTCCAAATGACAGCTTCAAAGTTGGGGAGCAGCAGAGACTGAACATCTGATTTCAATTCTAAATGGTTTCTGATTAGCCAATGTTGATGCAGTCAGTACCCCAAACACTCTGATAGCTTCTGTTCAAAACGGTATCCTTCACTAATGACAGAACTGGTATGTATGGACTAACAAAGGCCACACCACCACTGCTGAAGGGACTAGAAGTTGGACCAGGCAAAGGAGAAATAAACTAAATCATTTTCATTGAACAGGCAGAGCCAGATTTGCCACTACCTTACCTCTTGCAGAACCACTTAGATCATGTGTAAGGTAACTTTCACGAAAATGGAGTTTTAAGTGCACAATAAATACATCTAGAAAAATTCCTTGCCTATGAAGAATGGAAACTTATTTTAATTTGTTAAGTAATAAAAGATGAATGCTAAATTGTAATGCTGAAATGCAGACAGGTTTTCAGAAGCAGTACATTTTTGATGTAATATTTTCAAATGATCAATTCAAATTCTGCTTTTGAAAAATTTTCTGAGCTTTGATCTCGCTCCAAGTTGAGTCCAGAATAACTATTATATGGCTGACATTAAAAGTGTCAAAACAAAGTGATTTATAATGGAAACACAGAAAATAAATCACTATTTGAGAACTTTTTAACACACCACAGATTAGAGCCAGAAGGCCAGACTAAGTTGTCACTGAGTTTGTAAGCTTTCCTGCTGCAGCTGAGGACCACAATACACAGAAGAGCAAATTCAGTTAATGAACTCAATCAGATACTCACAATGACCTGTGCCTTCCTTGGAGAGGCACTTAAAAATTATGATCTACAAAGACATTAACATGACCACAGTCAGCAACCTGCAGGAAACAGAGAAGCAGGGTTCCTCTGGCTGGAGCGCAGATGCGTGCACCAGGGCCCTGCTTGGTGAACGCAGACCAAGAATATGTGACCATATCTTCCTCTGGCTGGAGCGCAGATGCGTGCACGAAGAATATGTGACCATATTTGACCACCAAAATGAGCAGAGCCATTAACATCCTGAATTAATGGGCTTAGTGGTTTTCAAATGAGGTATTTCCATGATGGACGTGGTGTGGATTCAGCAAAGTCTGCCCTTCAACAAACACAGCTTTGGTTTCAAAGATTTGATTAGGCTTAATACCATTAGGGAACCATTACTGATTTTATGCTGTTGTTGTTACTGGTTTAACTATCGATTTCTGAACCAAAAATTGAAGACAGTTGGCGTTACCAAGAGTCAAGGTTTAGGAATGCAAAAGCAAATCCAAGGTACAGATGAGCTTCAGATGTGGACAGGCTTCACAGGGTTTAATAGGCTCTCCAGAGTTTGTCAGGTCACAGAGGCTTTTCTTTTTGTGGGGTGTGCATGAGCCCAGTTGTTTCTTTGCGTTTGTTGTTTGTTTTAAACACTTGTGACCTCAGCTGGAGCAAGTGGAATTCATACGAGCAATTATTGCATGCAAGAATTAAAAAAAACCCACTCCAACCTTGGTTTATTGTACACCATTTACAAAAAAAAACCAAAACAAATGAAAATTATCTTCTTAATCAGCAATCCCTGATCACCACCACGTGTTTTTAAAACAGCCAGATGTTCACAGTTTAAGAAGCCAAATAATACTACTACTTTCTTGTAAACATTAATGGTGAAAGAACAATAATAATGGTTTTAGTCAATCATCATTAGTACTTGAAAGTACAAATATAAATTAAATAAGACTCAAAAAACTTGTACAATAAAATCTGCTGTAAACAAAGCTAATTAAAAAGAACTGCTCCCAACCTGGGTTGTGGGTATCATCTTGTTTTAAAATTAAAAGCAGTATTTATTTTTCTGAAGCATCCAAATGAATGTTCATATCCAGATGTCCTTACAAAGAAACACGGTCTTCATTCTTTTCTCATTTTTTAAGCTGTTTATATAATATTTCACTTCTGACTGTCCTTTTCTTCCTTGGCAATCCTCTTTGTCACACCACTGAAATACTTCTCCCGGAAAGAATTGTGTCCCCTGTACGGCATATACTGACCATCCAACAAGTAAGAGTTCTCATCTTGATCCTGCATGGCACCAAAAGACAAACATTAGACCCGAGGGTAGCGTGTTCAGCACGTACTGCCACCACTCTGCCTCCAGACTTTTTCAAACCATTATGTGCAAGGGTAAGGCAGTTGGGTTTTTGTTTTACAGTTCAACAGCACACTCTTAAGTCGCTGCAAATGTCTCAGCTGACATCACCAGAATCCCACCCTTACACAACTAAATGAGCACAGGTACCATGCACCACACAGGTCACTGTCCAGAAAAAATATTTTCAGGAGAATTGTCAGTCAGAGGTCTGTGGAAGGCAGGCACAAACAGAAGATGAACATAAATGGTAAAATGAGTTCATACAGTTACTGAAGCACATTCAGAGAATTTTTTTCTGTGCAGCATTCATGTATTTCTGAAAGTTAAAGTTGACACAGTAAATCCCTATACATAATACCTATTTGACACCAGCCAAAAACACAGTTTAGAAAATTGGCCCACTGTATATACAAAGGTTTAGTTCATCATGTACTGTGGTTTTATACAATTAAGATACTTGTCAGCTAACATTAGCAATGCTGTAAGATAAACATTACATCAAACTTTAATCTGAGTGTTAAAGAAAACTGATGGCAACTTCTAAAAACAGTTTTATGCTTCTGGGTGATGTCAGTTTCTCATTATGCTCAAAAGCAGGAAGGAACAGCGAGAAGGGGCCTCACACAGAACAACTGAGCAGCACAAGGAGAAAATAAAAACAAGCACACAACAGAACCAAGCCTCTATTCCGCCACGTATTTCTTCTCAGGTTTTTAACCAATGCAGTAATACAGACATTGGTTCACTACCTTTAAACCTTTAGTTATTTGTTCTTATTAAAAAATAAAGTTCCTGTGGAATATTTTAACAATAGTAGGAACATGGAAATAGATTTTAGTCAATGTTTTCATATTACAAGAGTATTACAATGCAAGGATGAACAGAATCCTAGTGGACAATCTCTCCCTTCAGCTCTTTTGTAGCCTTTTCCAGGTTTTCACCTACTAAGATCAACACCACTCCTAGCTCTGGATATCTTAGAGCATTCTAAGGGAGGAAAAGAAGGTTTTTCAACAAAGCAGGACGCTTGTATGCATGTAGAAGGGCCCTCTTCTGGGCACAATGAGACATTACTTTGAAAAGGTCTCACCTGCTACGAAAGCAGACATCAGGAATGTGACACCAGCTTAAATTAACTTGCTAAATGTTCAGTGCCCTGTAGATATCTATTATGTAAAGCATGTACACCAGCAGCAGCAGCTCTATTTAAATACTGCACTGTTGGAAAATAGCAGGAGAAAATTACTTCAGGAAACCCAATGCAGGCACAATATTATCTAATGTCTTTTGGTCACCTGTGAGAGACTGCCATCTCCATGACTGTTCTCAGGCTAACAAACAACAGGCTTTAACACGTTTGTGAAAAAAACTGAAAATTAGAAAATTGCTATAGACAGACAGGAAACAAGAAGGATTTAAGACATACTCCTCTCACAGCCAGCATGTACCCATTTCTCCAGCCACTCTTTGGAAAAGAGCACTTTTTCTTCTCACTTTTGAAATTCCAGGTCAAAAATCCTTCTTCGACATAAACATATATTTTTATATCATTGGGACGTTTTAACAAGAATGCTATGTCATTCACCTATTTTGAGAAATGGACAGGATATTTGACCCTGAAGGATAATGATACACAGATCAAAGATACTCTAAGATAAAAATTAATCCCCACAACCTCTAAGAGGTCATGCATGTGTACAACATTCATCTTGATTCCATAGGAAACAAAATGCTGATGTGGGGGGAAGAGATGAAGGAGAAAACTACCCTCTTCTCTACCTCCAAGCTGGGCAAAGAGAGAATGGGCTGTGTAGAAGAACAAACTTCAAGTAGAACACAGGTGTAACAGGGGCATCTGCATGCAGCACATGGAAACAGGCTTGGTGCACCACAGCAGAATCTCATCTCAAAAATCCAGGCCTCATCAGGAGCTCTGCAAACACTGCTCGCTAAATAAGAGATCTGCAGTCAGCCATGGATTTAATAGGAGAGACTACAAAGGAAGCTTCTGGCCCACATCACAATAATTCCAGTCTAAGAGGTTCCATTTCCTACCTCTCACCTGTACCAGCATGACTGCCTAATAAAGATGGCAATTGCTTAAAAAAAACCAAAAAACAAACAAAAGAAACCAAACCAAACAAACACCAACAAGAATGGGAATTGCTGCTTAAAAAAAAGGAAAAAGAAAACAAGAAATCCTGAACTACCTGGAGATACCAGTCACTGTTGAGATTTACTAGTCAAAGGAATTTTAAAGGCAGTGTGAGGACTGATCAAAGTAACTGATTGGATTTCAGAGACTAAGGATTTTCAAACAAATTCTACCTTACACTGTTTTGTATCAAGGAGCTGAATGGGTACAGTCTGAACACCAGGGATAGGCTTCATTTAACTCTAGAGAGAAAATAACTTGTGAAAAAAACCTTAACAATTTATTTGTTCTAAAAACAACACTAAAATAGGTTTTAGAGATCTCAAATAATGAAGAGGTAGAAGAGAAGGGGATGCTGAATGATAACAAGAAAATGTTGTTTAGATCTTAGCAAATATTAACTGAATTCTAAATATTTTTCTTCATCTAGCATGCTCCAGTTCAGCTTAAAGGTAATTACCCACATTTAGTTTTAGTTTTAAAAAAAAGTCTTCCTAGCCTTATCACTGTTTCCTACCACTCTACATCTGGTGCTGGACAGTAGCTATAGAAACCACTTGTACTAATGTTATACAGCTATAAACAAAAAGGAGCAGCTACCAAACCAGAGACAGCAGGGTCATATACCCAGGAACAGACACTGCTAAATTCAGCAGGAAAAATTCTACACCAGTAACCACTCTGGAGTGTAATATTTCTCATCTATTTGCAAGTGCTGCACTAAGTAAAAGGCAACTGAGGACCTGTTACAAACCAGTTTAGTAATGCAGACAGGAACCCTCTGGAAATTCAAATGTTAGGCATATCCATAAAAATTCTCTCTTTCACTTAGGAAAAGAAAAGCAGAAAGTATACAAAAGTATAACTACTAAATTTTATGGTCATATCTGGTGACTCAGAAGTACTCAATTCAAAGGTTACTCAGGATATTAACAGAACAAAAAACATGTTCCAGGTAAGGGACACTGGGCTGGGGAAATCCTGGACACCAAAACAAGGTCCTAAACCAAGCAGGCAGTGGCTAAGGATTCAACATTAATTTTGTTCTGTAGACAAGTTTTGCATCCTCAGAAACCACACATGGGTTCTGGTATCTTTAAATTATCTAACAGACATCTGGAATACTGAATGTAAGCACTTGCACAGTCTTATCTAAGCAGCAAGCCTGCCAACTAGTCTCAGGTGCTCAGAGCTAAGCACTTCCAGACATGAACCTGTCAGACCACGAACTGAAGAACAGGTGATGCACAAGAGGAGAGTAACATATGACGCAAATCTGTTTGCAGAAGGGCTGATATATTTTTTAGGTTAGAATATGCTACCCTACAGCACTGGTAGCAATAAAACTGCTGTCAAAAAAACCTCCCTGAACACCCTGACACGCACATGTCAAAAACTTTCATCATCTACTCTCCTGGTTTGCTACTGATGAAGTTGGCAGCTCCGAGGCTGAGCTCCACACAGAGTGTTTACAGAAGTTCAGGTGTTGCTTGAGACGTGCAGTCACCACAAGCATTATGAACAGAGCACTGAACCCCTGCTGTGTCAGTAGTTCACAGACACAGCAGCCTGACTGCATCTCCTGCCATCTGAAACAGCTCTTTCAGCTGACAACCAAGGTACTAAAAACACTTGCTCACTGAGTGCATTTTCATTAAGAATTTGCCTCACATGTGTTTAGCATTTCTTTTAACAGTATGAAGTGAGAGAAGTACCAAGAATGGAAAGGAGATCTGAATGTCATGTTCCCTGGTCCCAATGCTTCAGGAGAGGCACTTAGTGTGTCACAAAACAAAAACAGAAAAAAGAGCCAGAGCGCTTTGTAGTACTTGTCACAACTTCAATATTATTCCAAAAGATAAAATGTACCACTCTAAAGAGGAAGTAACAGAATCAAATAAGGTCTACTGCAAGACCCACAAAGATACTTAGTATTTACTTGGGCATTGAGACACACTTTGAAATCAATGGAAACTTAGGCATTATGGCAAAGCCTCTGTGGATGGGATTTACAAGTAACTTTAAGTTCAAAGATCTTTTTCACACTATCAAGGGACTTTTTCAGGATGAGGAGTTTACCAAAAACTGAGAATAAAAAGGAAGAAACCAAAACCAGAACAGTCCCTTAAATCACTGCTCAATTTTACAAAAGCTCTAGCTCTGATCATAAAAACCAAAGTATGACAGAAACAAGGATCAAATGCTGAATAGCACGAACTTGTCACGAACACAACAGGTACTATTTTACACTATATGATCAAGAATTCAAGCTTACCTTGAATTCTTTCACCTTTTCCATGGTTATGAGGCGCCTTGATGTGTGGCTGGAAAGCAGCTGCTCGCAGTTGCTAATAAGTTTCAGGCACGGATGGCGGGGAATGATCTCTTCTGTGTATCTGGAAGAAATAATCATTCTTAGTGCTGTAGGCTCATGAAGTGGAAGACCTGCATCTGAAACAAAATTCTTACAGACACTTCACAAAAAGGTTCATAGTTGAAAGTTGTTAGGCACTTTAACCTGATTAAATAAATTCAGATATTGCTGCTTCAGAGTTTTGACATCATATATTCCAATGATCTTGACATGCAGTGTGTAGAATAAATCAAAACTTCACAGTAAAGTCACACTCCTCCCATTTTCTGCATGTATTTAAATGATGTTAATGTATGTACACAATGGGCCTGCCTGTGTAATTTCAAGTACAAAATATCTCAGCCAACCAGGAATAACAACTTAGTCAGAGCTGTGATTTTAATAATATTTTCCACAGTCAACATATATAAAGTTGCAGGAATAAGAGACTTTACTCTGGCTCCCTAAAAGGAGATCACGGCACTTAAATTTCAAATCTTATTAAGCCAGTTCTCATTAGACAGTAACACTCTGAACTTCAAAATTTAGTATTACAAATTTATCTCATTAGAATTACTTTTTCTAATGGAAAAAAAAAATCCACCATCCTTTAACATTAGATAGGATTTAATTATAAGCCAAGGTTGCTACTATCTATAGAAGCAAGAGTTACAGTGTTTTAAATGCTCCACCTCAAAAGCATACTAGTTTCTACATAGTAGAAGTGCTTTCTCAAAATTGCTTTCAATCCTTCTATTTTTCCAAATGCTGAAAGAGAAATTTAAAGATTTAAGACCTTTGCAGGGAACTACAGCAGCAAGAAGTATTAACCCAGCTAGTATGATAAATATGGGATCTAGTATGATAAATATGGGATATCCTTCCTATATACTGAAACATAGATCAGCCATTTATTCCTAGATTTTGTAATAAGCATTCATGTAATAGTTATGAAAAGATAATACTGAAAATGGGTTCTGGTATTGCTAGGTATGATTTTGTACAAAACACCCGTTCCTACAATTCTCCAGTGTTTGGGTGTAAACAGAAGTCAGACACTGAAACACAGAACTGAACAACTTAATATCTATGACTTGAATTTAAAAGGTACAAAGGAGGAGCTTTACTTTTTCCGGAATAAAAGCAAAGCTGTTGGTCTAGATTAAAATAGGATCTATCTAGGTGCTGGTGGAAAACTTGGCATTTCTTAAGATAACAGAGCTGTTAAATAAGGAACTCAATCCCAAATACAGATCTGCAAATTACAAAAAACCCAAACAGTACTGCCTCTTTGCTTTCCTCCAAAATTTCCAGACCATAAAACTACCTTTCAGCCACTTCTCATGCAGAAACAAGTATCTGCTTCAGCTAGATGAAGTCAGAACATCCTTTTGACAAAGGAGAATGAAATAAATCAATTCTCAACTGCTTTTCCTATGAGACAAGACTTTTGATGCATCCAGCACCACCAAGCTGTCTTTCTTTTACAAAGGTAGGCACTCCACCATAATATTTTAAAAGTTTCTCTCCATAATCATACAGGAGGCTGACTTTAATGGAATTAGAAGAATTTGGACTCAACAATGATTTCAATGTCTGACTGAAAGAGTAAACTCTGAAGTGAGATGCTATCTTGAAGAGGGAGAGATCACTATCACTTTGTTAAAAAGCCTTTTCTGTTAGCATTAATGAATGTATTAATGAATGTATTTCTATATTCTTTCAGGTAAAACTCAGGAACATGTCAAGTAAGGAATACAGAAGCAATGATTTTAACAGATATACAATCCAATAGTTTTGGCTTTAATTTAAAGTAACATACAAAGGTCTCAAAAAATGAAACTCAAGGCAGGTGTTGCCAAGGGATATTTGATAATGCAACATGTTAGTAAAAAGTATCATCTCCCCACTTAATTGCTTCAATTCCCCATGTTCATTATTACAGCTGAAAATAAAGTTACCATCCTACTATTCTATGCTTATTCTAGCAACTTTAGTATTTCAAGTCATAGTATGATGTACAAATTTACTTTTTAAAAGTCAATTCTACTAGACCTCCCCAAAACAGCAACTACAGTTGATCCCAAATATGCAGTTCCCAAGTTATATGAAGTGAAACACTTTACACTGCTGTAGTGAGGAAGCACACTTTTACAAAAGTTCAGTGAGCAGAAAGGAAAACACTGGTATCTTGATGAACAAAATAAATTCAGTAATTCCACAGAGATTTTATTGACATGAAAATTAGCTATAATACTATGAATGACATTCATGGCTTTGTCTGCGAATTGTCTTATGAGAAAACAGGCCTAAAATACCAATTTTATAATTTACTAAAAAATACAAACTACTAAGTGCACTCTGAGTTATGGAAACACGTAACAGAGATGTCTCCTTTGAGAAAACAGGCCTAAAATACCAATTTTATAATTTACTAAAAAATACAAACTACTAAGTGCACTCTCTGTTAATAGAAACACGTAACAGAGATGTCTCCTTCTGATTTCCAAATTTTCAAAACAGCATGAGATATAAAGGACTATCAACAAGCCATTTCCATGGTGAAACCAGGGTCAACCACCACTTTAAATAACAGTATAGTCTGACTGTACATAGAAATATATGACACTGTAGAAACTATGTTCAGAGCACATCTGTATCTGGAAGACACCTTGAAATGACTACTGTACATCAACTCCTCACTTTACAGTAAAAAATCTTTACAAAACAAAACAAAAAACCCCCTCAAACCTAATCTAAGAGATGCTGAAATAAAACATGCAAACAGCTGGTGTTCCTGATGCACTCAGCTCTGATCCCAGGCTGCAGTCCTGAGCAGGCAGGATCCCGCAGTCTCTGCTGGCCTCTCTCGTCCCTAACAGGGCTGCTCTCGGATGCTTCCTGCCTCTCACTGCCATCTCTTGGTCACTTGACTTATTTCTCAGAAGAAAGCTAAATCAATAGTGCCAAACTCCAAAGAACCAAGGATGATTTTTGCACACCTCTATCAACCACTTCAGCAGAAACACATACTAATACCAGCCTTGCTTCTACTGTCTTAGAAATCTATCTGCACCTTGAAAGTAACTTCTTAAGCTTAAGCCTCAACACACATTTACAATGATAGGCAAAGGCATTGTCTGTTTGGTAACAGTCAGTAATTATCTCCATTCAAAAGCTCTGTTACAAATGTGGCCTCCCTCATACAAAGTTTTAAAACGCAAAGTCTGGGCATTACTCTTAAGTGGTGGCACTCTGTCCCAAAGGAAAGCAGAGAGAGAATGCAGCATCCATTCTGACACACAACACAGCAGAATTCAACCATACATACTCAGGCCTGTATATGGGCAGCCAGTAAACCAGTCTTCCTCCCATCACCAGATATTCTGCCCCAAACTTCAAGAGGTCAAAAAAGATGTCACTTAGATGGTAACTGGATGAAACGAAGAAGTGATTTTCTGCACTGAACAAAAAACATACAAGTGTAAGCAAACAAGAGCACAGGTAAAACCTAAATTTTTAATAAAAGTAATTTTAAAAAAAATACACTAAGCCACAAAAGCACTTTCTGAGCTTTGCAAAGCTACCTAAGACAATCCAAGAGTACGACTTCTACTATGAGGAATACTTCTCAAGTTCCCCCCAACTGTCTCTTTGACTTCCACATGTACTAAAGATGAGTCTAAAGAACCACAGGTATGCTGGCAATAGTTATTTTGCACCACATCTTTCTAAAGGAATTAAAGTCAGAAGGCAAGGAAGGCCAGGCAGTGGAGAAGCCATGCAATATCTCTGAAAAGAAAGGAGCAGTGGGAAATGCAAAAGAAAAAAAGTTAAGGGAAAAATTACAGGTATTCCATTTTAGAGTGATTTCGCAGCCTGCAGGGACCAAAGAGAACTCCTCTGGAAATACATGCTGATGGTGGCTCAAAGAGGTGAGAAATACACACACAAGGGATGAGGGAGAAAACAAAACCAAGAAGGTTTCAGGAAGTGACACAGTGGTTTTGCAAACAGAACAAAAAGGATTTTTCTTCTTTAATTATAATTGCTACCATTTTTTAACTTCTGACAGCCAACCAAGAAGTAACATTCTAAAACTGCAACTGGGTCTCCATTAAAACAGTTATATTCTGTAACAGACAAGACAGCTTCCCTACCTTCTTTCAACTTAACAATCTAAAACTGCAACTGGGTCTCCATTAAAACAGTTATATTCTTGAAACAGACAAGACACCTTCCCTACCTTCTTTCAACCGATTTAACTGTTTCCTTTTGTGATCCCATTCTGCGAGGAGCTTCTCTGATACCATATGGTGCTAGACAAAGCAAAAGCAAAATGCAGAGATGAGAACCTCACTCTTTGTCCAAATAACACAAAATTACATACACCATACAAAACAGTGCACAAACTGTGGCTTATACAAGGTTAAAAAAATGGAAAGCTTTTGCAAAGTAAAAGTCAGTTAGGGAAATTTCTTCAAGATCTGTTGAAAGTTTCTTGCTCCAAAAAGTTATTTTAAAACTGGTTCAAGGAAATCCATCCAGCTGTAAGAGCTTCTAGTAGCCTACACGTTTGTTACACAACAAAGGACAATGCTGTGTTTTTTCTTAAAAGATATTCCTTTGATTTGCAACATGTGATAAATAATCCCATCCTTTTTTCCTTGACAGACATGATTATGTCCCCTATAGCACTTAACTAACCTTTCTCGAAATTAAGTATATCAGAATTTCTTGTCAGCACATTACACAAATGGTAATTCTCACACAAAAGAACCAGAGAAGGCTTTTTCTCATACGTTTTTTGCACATTTCTAATAGCATAACATATTTAGTTCATGTTCAAAAAATCTGAGTTTGTGAGACTTGTTTTAGCATCACAGAAGCACCAATGTAAACACTTGCAGAAGTTTTGCAAATGGTTTCACACTCAGTTCTAAGTCCATGTTAATATTCTACACTGTCTTGTTACCGAACAGGCCAAATAAAAACCAGCAAGCAACCCACAAAGAAAAGTCACACTCCCTATTCCTAATTCATATGAGTGTGTCATTGTAAAAGCCAGCACTTGATATCAGAAATTGCTATATCAAGGTTTTCATTTATCCCCTTGGTTTCTTTTCCCTCTCTTATAAGACAAATAGTGTTTAGTAAACAGGTTTCTAAAAGAGCAGAGGATCCTTTCGAACTGCTCCTGCTTCCAGTAGCTAAATGTATTGGAAACACATTAAAATTTCTCTTTGGAAGCACTACATTAAGCATTAACACAAGCCTCCCAAAGTCCATCAGAGAGGCATGGCACACTCCAACATGCTGCCAACAGCAACACAGACTTCTGGTAAGAAGTCTCCATGCATCAATCGTGTGATGCTTTTACTGAAGGAGACTTCTTCAAAGGATGATTTTCAGCCATACTGATTTCTGCCGGCGAGTGTAGCATTCCCTCCATGGGAGAAAGTGTCACTGTCAGCTTTGTTACATGTTAATAACTATCCTTAAAATAAATGCAGAGACATCAAATGCAGATGTAATTTCATAGTGCTGCTCTCAACAATCACCTTAGAAAACATGGAAACAGCAGATCTGAGCACTTGTCCAGGCATTTAATCAACGTACACAGGCAATAACGTTTTACTCACTGTTATTGGGCAAAAAAAGGCAGTAACAAACTTACGGTCTGTAATGATTGCATCAAACAACATCCCTTTTCTCCATATTGGTCTTGAAAAATCAGCAACAAGTGCATCGAGGTAGTATTTCTCTAAACCATACTGTCGGAGATTAGCTCTGATATTTTCATCTGGCCCTCTCCATTTCTGGTTCTTTCTGCTTGCCTTGCCTGGGAGAGGAAGGGAAATGGAAAGGGAAAAAAAAAGCATACTCAATAAGAAACTATTACATAAGAAGAGCTTTCATATACTCTACCATTTAAATTAAAGGAAAATAATTGAATGTCACCAAAAAAACCTGTCAAAAGTAGTCAAACTTCACAAGTAGTAACGAAAAATGAAAATACATGAGAAAAGTTCTGCTGCACCATCTGCACAGGGTGTCAAAGAACACATTTACAAAAATGCTGGTTTACAAGATGCTCTCTCCATCCACCAGTCACAACCCTGCTGACTAGGTCAAACATAATTTGTATATTTGCAGAGAAGTAACAATGAGATGAGGGTTCCTGGGTTAGGATTTGAAGAGCTTCCCACATCATAGGTTAAAAGGGCACACAGCTGTGGGAACGATTATTTGGAAATTTGTTTTGGTCTTCATTATTCTTTTTCCAAAATATTTCCAGCTTAAAAATAAGATAATATCTTAACTAGAGTATGTGTAAATTGGTGAATAAAACTAAGCATGACCACATAAATCCTGCAAAGATTAATGCTGCTTTAAAATCCACTAAGTATCATCTGCTACCATCAAGTCTTCTTAAATTACAGAGGGGAAGATTTCAGTGGCTTCAAAACATTAACATACCTAATCCATGGATTGTGTTGTAATCTATATCAGTGCCACACACATATGCCCCAAAATGTGCTGAGGAGATCAGAAGGCCACCTAGACAGGGGAGAAAAGAGGTAAAGTATAAACTTCAGTCATAAATGTCACCTGTGTTAGGATTTTTTCCTCAGGAACTTCAGGAGCCTACAGCAGCAGCACACTAGACCCAAGGAAAAGAAAAAAAACCAAAACAAACACTAAAAAAATTAGTAGAACTATCAACCAGTTAGAATCACTATGTAATTATAATCAGACATAAAAACACTAAGTCCTTTGTCTGCTCTACATGATTTTCCTTATCTTGCTATGCCCCATGTCTTGCTATGCCTCATCTCTGGATCTTGTTCAAGAGTTTTGTTTATGGCTTTCTGTATTTTAAGCAGTAAGATCCTTTAATCATTACATGAACCAAAACTTTTGATTCTATTTTGCAAGGAACAGAATTTCAAACTGTTGTCAAACAATTGGAAAAATCATCACCACACAAATGGCAGTTCTACTGTGTCTGTTCTCAAAGCCAGTTTCTTTAACAGTGTCTGAAAATCAAACTTCTGTAAGGTGGCTATTGCCATGTTGTAAAAAACAATGGTCAAGAGCCTTACAAATGTAAATACCTATAATGTAAACATAAATATCAAAAACATGTCTGCAATCGTTTTCAAGGGTGAAAACTACATACAAATGCATTTGTCTTTGAGTAGGCTACCTACTTTGTCAGTAGTTTTACCAATGTACTTATTTTGTAATAAAATCAGTTTTTTTAATTACAGCAATTGCAACATGCCTTCCAAATTAAAAAAGAACACCATAGCAAAAAAAAGCGTGATTTCCCCTTGAAACTGACAACAGCTGAACAGCCCACAGAAAAGAATAAATTACATTAATTATTTAACAGCTTCCAAATGAAACAACAGACAGACTGCAGGAGATGAACCTGTGTGGTCAAGTTATTAATAAAGAGGTCTGTGACTACCAGAATGGTTTAGGACAGAACAGAACTGAGAACTAAGCTGTGAAACCCACTGATGTCAACAGTCCTGCTAAATAAAGGGGATGACTGCTACAGGATGAAGGGCCAAAAATTTGCAAGCTGGCTGGGGGGGGGTGACACCAGTTCTCCCATTCACCACGAGCATGGAAAGAGGCATCTCAGGTGGCTGCACTGTCCTGAGCCACCCACTGAGCACCAGCAAATCCCTAATGTGCCCTGTGTGCAACAGAAAATGTCTGCACCATATGCTAATAAACTCTATCATACCAGAGGTGAGTGAGAACAAAAAAACTTTTAATATTCCTCTGTTTTTTTCTTGTGAAATGGATCAGGGAAAAACAAGGTTACTCACCCCAAAGGAATCACCCATTTCCCTTCTTGGCTGCAATCCCTCAGGACAGATGGGCAGTACATCCAGAGGGTCAAGACAAATTTAGCTAGCCCTGACCCCCAAGTATGGCGTACCACCCAGTCCTACAAAAAAAGTAAGAAGAGAGTCCTTTGCCCATCTAAGAATATTTTTAATCACAGGCAAAAAAAGAAGCTTGGAAATCATGAATTTACAGCTCTTAATAAATCTCAGCTCGTACTAGTTCAATTGTGTTCATGCGGAAGGTGCAGAGATACTTACATACTCTTACATAGCCAGCCCTTTGATCAGTATATGAAAGGGTTAATCAGGGAATCACTCTGTCCCTGGTGACCTGCAGCAGAATGATGATGGCACAGAGCTTCATGCCTTTCTATCACACACTATTCCTCCACCTCTTCAGCACAGACGAGGTCTGGTCCTCCAGGATGTCAAAGAAAAACATCCTGTCATTTACAACTATGCACTATCAGAAATATTTTCCAAAAGAACAATCAACAACATTACTGAGATAACCTGAAGTGACTGTCTAGGGGGAAGCACAAGATATTCAAGTAAAAGACTTTATTCTTCTAGAAGCTTCCAGGCTTCCTTCTGCCCAATGCTGAGGAAAGAATATCTAAACATGGATGGAATTTAAAAACACAGTTTTAGCCATTCCAATTGTGCTCAACAATAAAAAGGGGAATCAGGGCTTCTAAAAGCCAGCCTGGAATATAAAGAGTACTTCATATTCCAAGGAAAAATGATAACTATCCATTCTTATACTAATGTGAAAGACTCATGATTTGGCTTATGCGGCAAAAACCAGTTTGTTTGCAACTAGCAAGACCCATTTTACAAGGCCATTCTGGTTTGGTTCTCTATTGGTTTACTCTTCACTTTTTCAGTGTAAAAAACCAGGCAGCAACACAGCCAGGTAACAAAGCTGCACTAGTAAAGAAATCTTCAAAATGCTCCTCAGATCCTGAATATGTATTTTTCCAAAACCATCAGCTCAAAATGACTGCATCACTCTCAACTCCAGAAACTTCCCAGAAACTCCAGTGACAGGGCACTGTTGTACTGACAAGCTCAAAATCTTATGAAGGTCCTCAAGAGACAATTGAAATTCCTAGGGTTTACTCAAAAGAAATAAGTTCAAAAGCCACTTTTATTTAGTCATAAATACACTCTACTGACAAATGGCACACCACCCAGTATCTCCAGTGTCCCCCTTAATATCTACCCTTTATATTACAAATGTCTAATAAAAAAAAATTAAAATTGTAATTCAAACTACTAGGCAATCTGGGGAGAATTTTATGTATCTTACATATATGAATGTATATGAACATATGCATGTATACGAATGATGTATATGTTTGAACTGAAACACAACATTTATCTTGAATTTCTATAGCTTCATCATTTTTATGTGATTTTTCTCCTTCTGTCTTTACCCTTCCTTTTTATTTTTCTTCAATTTTCACTCCCAAGAGAAAGAATGCTCTCAGAGACTTTATTTTGTGATTTAAGTTAGCAGGTTTTATAAGACAAAAAGTCACAGATGCCAAAATGAAACCAACTGCTAAGAGGTAAGTAGAGGGATTTCCTGAACCTTTCAAAGGACAAGCACAAGAAAGAGGAGAAAATTTTGTAATATATTATTATGCATGAAAAAAATCAGATCCTGTAAGAATAAAATTTAAGACAAAAACATAGAGTTCACCAAACCCTTCTGTTTCTGAAAATATAATATCCATGCTCTTTTTCTATGGCACAGAGAAGACACATACGAATAAGAATTTATCCTACTAGTGCAGTCTTCTCTCTACCTAACTTTGCTGCAGAGATTTTTCTTGATCTTCCCATTAATATAAGTATTTTTAAATCTATGTATTTCACATGTGGTCACCTTGACTAAAGTTCAGCAAGTTGAGCATGAGTCAGCAGTGCCCTGGCAGCCAGGAGGGCCAAGTGTGTCCTGGGGTGCATCAGGCACAGCACTGCAGCTGAGCAAGGGAGGGGATTGTCCTGCTCTGCTCTGCACTGGGGCAGCCCCACCTTGAGTGCTGGGGGCAGTTTTGGGTGCCACAAGACATGAAGCCATAAGGGAGTGTCCAAAGGAGGGCAACAAAGATGGTGAAAGGCCTTGAGGGGGAGCCGTATGGGGAGCAGCTGAGGTCACTTGGTCTGTTCAGCCTGAAGGAGACTGAGGGGAGACCACAGTACAATTTACAGCTTCCTTGCTGGGGAAAGAGGAGGGGAATGCAATGATCTCTTCTCTGTGGTGACCAGTGACAGGACCTGAGGGAATGGCCTGAGGCTGTGTCTGGGAAATTTTAGGGTGGATATTAAAAAGTACCCACAAGTGCTTGGGCACTGGAACAAGCTCCCAAGAGAAGTGGTCACAGCCTGACAGAGTTCAAGAAACATTTAGACAATGCTTTCAGGCACATGGTGTGAATCTTGGGGATGGTTCTGTGCAGGGTCAGGAGCTGGACTCCGATGATCCTTATGGGTTTTCTTTAACTCAGGATACTCTACAATTTGATTCTGGGATTCTAGGCCAGAAACACAGTCTTTGCTACATTTTTGAAGAAACTACTATAGGTAGTTCAACACAATATACTGTGCTTTATAATTATATGGCACAAGCTAATACAATAGATCAGCTATTTCACATACAGCTGAGTTTCCCAGAGGCCATGCACAGCACTATGTGGAACAAAAGCTCCCCCTCCTGGCTAAGATAAGGAAAGCTCAGCTGGGGAAGGGTACCTTGTGTGAGTAATAATATCCCGAACATAGGCTCTGCACCACAAAGTGCTCCTCATGGAATGCTGCCATTTCACTATTGCTGTGTTGTGCTGTATGACCAGAAATGCCTCAGCACTCCCCTAAAGAGCCAGCTCTAAAATGCTGCTCTTTGTAATGTCCTGAAAGTGACTGCAAATGCTTACCAAATTCCAATTCTTTGTCACTTTGATCTTAAGCAGTCCATGACAGACATGGATGGGTTTTTAGGCCACGTGGCAAAAAACACAACAGTGAAGACAGACCTTTTAAAAGCGCAAAATAAACTGTTTAGATCTTTGGAATTTGGTCTCCTTCCTCCCAAATCCCTTTCAGGTTAACAAATCATTAATTTTATAAACACCATTTTGCCTTTGGTATCATCTCAAATATCTGATGAGCACCAGAAGTCATGACACCAGGTAAAAGAGTAGTGCAAGCACTAACACAATCTTCCAGTTCTTCCCACCAGCAGAAAAAAATATATATATACCTGTTCCAACAAATGGATCAGTAAAAGAGTAGTGCAAGCACTAACACAATCTTCCAGTTCTTCCCACCAGCAGAAAAAAAAGATAAATATATATACCTGTTCCAACAAACGGATCGTATACAATGTCATTGGGTTTTACTCTCCCATGGTTTGCCATGATGAAGGAGAGGCAGGCATCCATGCTTGTGTTTCCAATGAAGTGTCTCCTCTTTACACTGTAGGATTCAATGAGTTCTCTTTGGCCATCTGCAATCTGTGGAAACATTTAAAACCCCTGTCAGATCCTGGATAAAAGATACAAACAGACATGCTAACAGACTTGCTTTAGTGACACCACCCAAAACCAGGCAACTTCACTTCATAACGCCTTGCTTTCTGACATCTGAAAATATGACTGACTTCTTTCCAAGCAACAGATATCTTGATTAAACACCTGTGTAAATTCTTCAAGACTTCTTCAAGAGGTTAAAAATGTACAAATATTTTAGAGATAAAATTCTAAGAAATTACAATTAGAGTAATTTTGCTATTATTCTAAGCATCAGGAAAACAATTCCTGGCAATTGAGAGTTAAAAGGTTTTCAAAGATATGAGGATTAGACATGCACGTTAAGACATGCATGCACACACACTGATGCTTAAGGTCAGACAGGACATTTCTTTCTTCACTGGCATTTCTGTCCCACTCAAAATCCAAACTTAGGATAGCGTTGACAGGTGAGAATTTGAGGGAAAAGCAAACAAAGACCAAATGCTGGCATTTTTACACCAGACTTCCCATGTACATTGGAGAAGACCAAAGCAATCTGAAACAAAACATATTCAAACACTGTCCAACACTATCCCCCCACCTCTGCTCAGCATCAGTCTTACTGGGTTAACAAAATACACCTGCTTATTTTTTCAGGTTGGTTTACTCATTTTTGAACACTTCAGGAATTCAGCACAGATGGGACAACAGCTGCAATGTTTTGCAGCGTTGCCACAACCCAGGGTGCTCGCACATCAATCACAGGCTTGGAAAATATTCACAGGCCCTAACAGATCACTTGAATCTCTAACCTCTCAGGAACACAAGCCACTGACTACAGCTGCCAAACCTCTGCAGTGGTTCTCCCTCCTTTCAGCTGCCCTTGACCCACTGCAAGCACATATTCACCAGTGGCTAGTGTCATTCTGGGAGATATCCTTTGAGGAGACACTTTTCCCTTACAAAAAACATAAAAGACCAGATCAAATTTCCTTGGGACATCCTAATAACGCAGCAGGTTTAGAGTGCATCTGGCCAGCAGGCAAGAACATTTGTAGTGAAGATGACAGATGAGAGGCTCCAAACAGTTTTTGTACTTGGTTCCTTTTGCACTGTAGGTGTTCCCTTGGGCAGGTACTGTGGGAAAAGGTACAGTCCTGTGGGATGAACTCATTGATGTCCACAGCCTCAGGGATCAGTCTGCACCTTTCCATGGAGGTGCCTGCCAGGATCACTTGAAGCACTTACAGAATGCTTCAGTGAGGCTGATGCCACTCAGCAAGGCCACAAGCCATCTACACTTCTGTACATCTTTCTGTGTGTTTGGAACAGGTGCTTTCAGCTGTAGCTAGGTCCAAAAAAATGTAAAACACCACTCCAGCTGTGCAGTCTGGCTGCTGTGCTGAGTTCTCTCAGTGGGTAGCAAGACAAAGGTGTGTTTCCAGATACGACTTCATTGTTTTCCACCTCTAAATTGTTCAGCAAAGCCACTTTTTCCTAGTCACAGTAAGGACTCCCAAGACTTGCTTCAGAGTACTATGCAATGACAAATTCAGACAATGGTATTTTTGGCTTCTATTAAAAGTCAAAACACTTTTTACATTTAAACTGAAGTACTGAAAATACAAGCTTGTAAGAACTGAAGCAAACATGCTCACGCACCCATCTACCAAAATACAGATGAATGGGCTCTTCTGGAACATCATTTGGGTTCATTCCATAATCTTCCAAAATCCAAAATATGTGTTCTGGATTCTTCAAATTTACTTTTCCTTTGAATGGCAGAAATTCAAGGGCCTATACAACAAAGAAAAACAGAGTAAAAAATAAACAGGGTCAATTTTTTTTAAATGGGTACCTTCAACCCCCCAAGAAAAAAAACCAAACAAACAAAAAATCAGAAAAAAAACCAGAATTTCACTTGTGGTAAATGGTATGTTGGTACTAGAAAGTTGAATTTTCAATGGTTTTTTGAAATGCCTTTCTTCTTAAAAAAAGCAGCTCAAATGATCACAGTTTGGAAATTGGGAACCAAAACACTTTTTATTAACTGAACAGGACTCAACTTCAGAGGAAATTGACTGTGCGTATTAATTATGCACAAATTATACAATTTCCAAATTACAGAAACACTAATGATGAACAATGGGATATGAAATTTCAGTGATGTGCAGCTACAGTTGTTTACATACTTAGCATTATTTCATCTACACAAAAACTGAACAAACAGGGAAAAAAAGCTACAATGTATACAGATAATTTCAGTCTCTGTAAATGAAGTAAACTGAACAAATAGGTGCCAAAATAGAATGTGGAAGAGTGAAATAAACAGTAATTTGGAAAAATTTCCTAAATTAAATACTGACATAGTTAGGAGGAGAGTACAAGTACAGATAAGAACAGGAGATCAGCACACAATCCACAGCCTGCAGCTGAAGTCACTTGTTCCACATTCTGCAACAATAAAAGACTAATAAGGAGATCAAGTAAGATATTTTCCAAAAATCTAGCACCTAACTCTTGCTATTTGAATCTTATAGTTCTCAGCAGTAAGCTTCGGTTTCCCCAGCACACTGGGCTGAATCAGCTGTGATATTTGTTTGGCATTGTATATGCCTCATCTTGCTATTTGAATCTTATAGTTCTCAGCAGTAAGCTTCGGTTTCCCCAGCACACTGGGCTGAAATCAGCTGTGATATTTGTTTGGCATTGTATATACCTTAAACAGTCAGTTTATAGAGGGAAAAAGAAAGTCATGAATTTTGAGAGAATGTTAATTCAGACACAAAAATCTCATTTAGCCCTGGTAAGATGCAAGCCATAAACTTCCTTAAGATCTTGAAGAAACTTAAATACACTGATAGCATGGAATAAGAACAATATGAATAGATTAAACTAAACAAAGATTTTTTAACCATCTACTTACATCAATCTTTTTTATTTTCTGTGCTTGGGTCAGTGTTTTATTAAATGTATGAATATGTATTTTGTAAGTAGAGTCTGACTGTAGATATGGAAGCTGAAAAGAAAAAAAAAAGGCAAAGACACTTTAATTAGTACAGATGCAGTGCTATTCAGTGGGCTTAAGGAACTACATTATCCAGATTCTTTATATTTATACCATCTTGTCTGTTGGATAGTTCTTCAAAGATGTATACAGCTCTCCTGCAGACTTTCCATGGCCCCACAGTTCAAATATAGACCTGAAATTACAAAGTTTTTGAGAGTCAGTCACAGAGAGGAGGGAAAATGCCTTACAGATACTTATTCCTTTTAACCTACTTGGCCAATGTAGATTTTAATTCATGGAGTATTAAAGTCGGCATTTAATTCTAGACAAGTGTTTTAGTTTTTGTTTGTAACAAGTATTTTTAGCTGCAGGCTGATTTTTCACTGATGCCTTTCTTTGTTTGGTAACATGTACCAATAGCTTCAGAGCTTTTCATATTGATTACCAGTGCAATGGAGATACTCCAGTGATCTTATTCTAAAACTTACGTATCTCTCCACAACCAGCAGGACAGAAAAATAAGCCATGGGCTAGTTATGCTTTCTACATAGAATTAGCATACATTAGCTGAGAGTGCACAGTGTGCAGAACATCTGCAAGCTGTTTGGTCACATTTTACTCCCCGAGCTGCCTGCAGCCGATTTTTGAAGTGCAGTTCTCCATTCTTGAGGCAAGAGTGGAGAGCCCACTCTTGCAGTGATTGTAGTAAAGTCATTGTAGGTAAAACTGAGTCCCTGAGACAGCAAGCACTCAACAGGGACTGTGCAACATTCTGCAGAGGAGACCAAACTCTGAAGAACGCACAGGCACCACAAGTTTGGTATGGTCAGAGAGATATAACTCTGCAGAGGAGACCAAACTCTGAAGAACGCACAGGCACCACAAATTTGGTATGGTCAGAGAGATATACCTGTGCTGCTTCTCATCCTGAGCCATACTTCAAGGCCTCTCTCACACACCTCACTGGGAAGTATGTTATTCACACACCTCTAAAAAGGACCAGCTGGAACAGTCACTCTCCAGCATATTCTTGTGCTCTTGAATTTCCTAGAAGGGACTCTGCTGCAGCAGTGAGAGCTGAAGGCTTGGATGCCAGCACTGAGGGAGGGTGATTCAACCTTTCCCTCCTATGATTGTCAGTTTTTACATATCACTGGTTGTATCTTTCAATTCCACACATATTTTAGAAAAAAACCCTAACTCAATATTATACAAGGCACATAAAACATGAGTAACACTACAGGTGCTGTCTCTGGAGTGAAGAACACCCTGAATTGATCATACACTGAGTAAAGAGGACAGACAGGCATGCTACATAATCAGTCCTACAGGCTCCAATAGCACCTTCGCAATTCTAGAGGGAATCAGAGACTCTGCATTTTATGACTCCATGAAAAAATCTGTATTTGCCATAATAGAACAAAATTCCACTGCTTATGTCATTAATTACAAGATTTTTCATCTCTTACTTTGCACATACTGTCCGCTTCATTAGTCCCCTTGCCATCTCTTCTGAAGGAATATTGAGAATCCAAAAGGGAGACTGCAATCAAGAGAAGGTAAGTCATGAAAATACCCAGCTGCAGGATGTCACATGAATTACACAACTACACAGTTCTGTTCTATAAAAACAGAATATGCATACTGAAAATTTAAAAAAATAATAAAAAATACATCTCTCACCTTTAATCATACAGAGAACATGGGGATAAAATAATTAATCTGAGACAAAACTGTTTACTTAGCTTGAATGTTTGAGAAATTCTGTTCTATATTTTATTTTTCCAACATAACTGACTTGGTAAAATGTTATTTGCACTTCTCTTGATTATTCATCTGCTAAAGACTGGAAACACCTCGTTACACACAAGCAGTAACTAAATCCCAGTAACATTCTCTGGCCAAGCAGTGACACCAGAATCATATGGCTTCCTAAGGACATTCCTCTGTCTCACTGATTTAGAGGCAAACACCAATTCCAAACTGCTGCTGAGTGTTTTCAGGGTTTAACTATCCTAAAAATCAAGGAGAGCCTCCCAGCAGATGGCACTGCTTCTTTTCATGCTAGTAAATGAAGACAACTTGAGGTGTATTTTGTGCATGTTTTTTTCCAGTTTTGAGTCTTTACTGAAATTGAGAAGCCCTCAGTTTTGGGAAGATTCCCAATTTTCCTAAGAAACTTCAATATTTATTCAGCTGCCTACAATTAACAAAAACACTGTAAAGAACATACTTGCAGGCCATACACACACTCAAGTGAAATATTTGGTCCTCACTTACATTTACACGAATTTCCTGCTCACCACTGAATTGTCCACCACAAAGGGAGAGCAATGATGTTATTTCCTAAAGTGAAAACATAAAGGTCAGGCTTTAGAATCTTATAAAGAAGAAAAGGAAAAAAAAAAAAAAGCACAGCATGACACAAATTCTAATGCAGATGGTGGATAGGGCACACATTCACAAGTAAATTCAGATTGTATGTACTGTTCATGAACTGAAAATTAAGACCTCCCTGCTATAAAAACAGCTTTCTCAAAATTCATTGGCAAATGTCAGGAAAATTTCAGTAATTAAACCCCACCATTTCACATATTCTCCTTCATCAGAATCTTTACTGTTCAATCCTACACTCTCACAACAGTATTATCCATTCTGTTCTTTAAATATTTTTCTGACTAGTTCACATGGAAGTGATGTTTCACTAGTAACACTGACCCAGGGCTAGGATCAGCAGATCATCTGGCTAAAAAAAAAAAATCCATCCTTGCTTGCTCCATTAAGTTTTTGACAAATCATGTTCCTAGCATAGCTCATCACAAAACCAAACAAGCTGAGCAGTCACCAAAATAAAAGAGAAATAGCTCTGCTTCCATCAGCAGCTATATCAACCAAGTGTCACCAAAACCAGGGTGATAAAAAGAAAAACTTCCTGTTACATATGCATCATCTTATTTTTACTTCATCCAATGACCTTGCCTAAAGGAAAACCAGAATGACCATGAATAGAACTCAGGTTCCAGTGCCACAAAGCAAATAGGAAAGAGAACCTTAATGAAAACAAGGAAAATAAAAGCTTCAAGACACATTAAACCTTTTATAACATGTGACAGTCCAATCGACGAGGGAACATCACCCTGTGAAGCAGAGCATGGCACTCAGTGCCACATCCAGTCTTCCCGGGAGCACCTGCAGGGACGGTGGCTCCAGCAGCTCCCAGGGCAGTCCATGGGGAGAGGCCTGGCGTGCTCCCAGGGCAGCACCAGCCACTCCTGCACCCAGGGCACGCCGGCGGCACCTGACGTGTAACTTTAAAATTAGTCACCAAAGCCAAAAACTTGAAAGCATTTTTGTAACCCCAGCTTCCGCTTCTCACATGGAGCCCCGGCTACTCTGCTGGCAACCTCTCCTAGCGCCAGAGGCTCTGGAAAAGCGAGCGGCGAGGAAAGAGCTGCCTTAAAGCCACGGCGCGGAGGCTCTCCACGAGCCTGGGGCAGCAGCGGGAAGAGGGAGCCTAGGGGCCCCTTCCCACAGGACGCGGGGAGCGGCGAGGGAAGAGGCGCCGGGCGCTCCGAGCCCCCGGCTCTCCCGGAGAGAGGGACCTGGCCGGGGTCCGGCTGCCGCCGCACAGCCGGGGCCGCGCCGTCCGGGAGCTCCCCGGAGGAGAGGGGAAGGGAGGGGAGGGAAGCTCCTCACCAGACCCCGGCCCCGACCGCGGCCCCGGCCCCACCCGCAGCCGCAGCCCCGGTGCCGGCCCCGCTCACCGGCAGGCGGAACTCGAGGTGCTCCTGCGCCAGCAGCAGCAGATAGCGCCGTAGCGCCGGGGCCGCCAGCGCCATGTCCGGCCATCCCCCGCCTCCCGCATGCGCCGCCGGCAGGGAAGGGCGGGAGCAGCCCGGGAAGGGGCGTGTGGCGGAGTCTCCCCGCGGGAGACCCCCCTCTGCAGCGGGACACGGGATTGTGCGAGCTCTTCGGGAATTGCTGCTCATTTCATCTCCTTCTCATGCTCCTTGTAGCTATGTTTTGGGTGTGCTGTATCACGCACGCCACGTGTCAGCGCAGCAGTGCCTGCGTGTGGTTTATAAATAGCTCCGTGTACACTGGGGACACGCTCCCTCAGGGGTGCTTCACTGTCTGGGGCGCGCTGCGGCCTCTCCCGGCCACATTTAAGCATCGGGAGCATTAAATAACATTAAGAATTAACAGATGCCAAAGGAGTCGCATTCCTTTTTCCGTGGGAAGGAGGTCAGCGCCGGCGGCGTGGGTGTCGCAGCAGGTAGAGAAACATTCCCAGGAAAGAGGCAGAGGTGTGACGGTCCGGCAGAGGGGCTAAAAGGGGTTTGTCTTGCGGACTATATTTTATTTTAATATCTGGTCTTGATAATTGTAATCCCGTACTCACTGGTCTCCCTGTTGTGTTGATCAGAGAGGTTCATTTTATCCAGATTTTGGCAAGCTGTTTATTAGGACCAGGCCAGCACAACACTGAACTCACATTCTGTGCTTTGTGTGCTGATGTTGTTGGGGTGGTTTTTTTCAGTTTTTTTTGGTTTTTTTCTAGATGGCTAAGATCTTGCTCATGACCTGTGAGCACTGCATGGGACACCTTGATGCATCTCCATAATCTCACCCTGCAGCTTCTCCAGTTATCCCTTCCTGCAGTAATCAAAACTGAGGTTACTGTGAAGCTTTAGCCCTGATGATTGACAAGAAAGCAATCCAAAGCCACCTGGCATCTAAACGAGAGCTTTCCTAAAAAAGAAAGAAAAGAGGTAGGTGTGAGTCTGGCTTGTTCACCTCAGTAGCTGAGTGCTGAGACCCAGCAATAAACACATTGCTGAACTGCTGACAAACCCTGCGAGCCTGAGATTGCTTACAAAATCTTGGAATTGCTGAGAGAGGTTTAGTGGAAGAAGTCTGCTTTTATTTTTCCAATCTGTCTCACCTTAAATTTCTTAGCTGTATTGCTTCCATTTTAGAAACTCCTTAGAAGGAGTTGTTGGTATTATTTTTAAGCTTAATCTCTTTAAAACTGGCTTTTGCTTACTTTATCTGCACTGCTTTACCTTCAGGGCATCGCTGCCTGTTCTCTCAAGGTGAATACCTGGTTTTTACTGATACTGTTTCCTACAGAAGACTTTAACAAAAACCCTGTTTTTTTCCTTGCTTTTCACTTGAGGATCCATGCATAATCTCTGGCAGCATATACATGTTGATCTACTTAGTTTGAAAGTGAATGTACATTACTGAGATTTACGGAGTATTTGGTTCTCACATAAAAACAAAATGCTTTTCAGATGCTGTGTTTGGAAACAGAATGTACATTCCTGTAATGCCATTGAGGAGAATCAAGCAGTTATGTTAGCGTGATGTGGGGAGTCATCTAAAAACATTACAAAACTCCTAACTCTTCTAGGGAGGGAAAGGAAGAAATTTACACATTTTAGCCTACAGGGGAATTTTATACACGCAAAGTGTAATTACTCAACTTGAAATTTATCCAGGAAGCTAGAATTAACCACCTTCCTCTCACAAAATATATAACAATGGTAATGTACAACAACCACGAGTTTCAGTTTAAAAGTGTGAGACCATGAATGAAAAGCCATTACTTCATGTGTGCTGTTGCTAATTATTCCAAATTCCCTTCTCTAGTGACTATGCTCACCTCGTGCACTCTTCTAGACCCAGAGGCAACACAAGTGGTTTTTGCCTCACCTGGAGGTTCTGCTGGGGAATTTAAGGAATCCTGTCCCTGCTCATGGGTTCACACGCAACAGCACCAACATATGTATGCGGGCAAATGCTCATGAAAACTTACTTTTGAAACAACAGTGGTTTCAAAATACAGAAATACCCAATCTGTAATTCAGCTGTTAAACTGTTCGGAATTTGCATTTCTGTCCATTTCTCCGTAGAAAATCCGGCACTAATCCTGTGTTTTAACTTCAATTGTCGCTGGAAGTATCAGCTCTACTTATGTGCTACCTGGAAACTCCGGCTCGGGTATTTCAACAGGTGAACAACACGACCCAGCAAAGACATGGCTATAGCACATTCAGATCTCTGTAGGGATACAGAAGTCTGTCTGTAATCCACCCCGATAACCAGGTGCCGCTCAGACAGCCCATACTCCAGGCGCATGGAGTGCCACAGGCGGCGGGCAGCCGCGTCCCGGGAGCGGCGCTGGCTCCTGCGGGCTGCGGCCGGCAGGCATGGCCGGGCAGCACAGCCTTTTAAGGGAGAACAATCTATTCTGCCTCTGTCTTCCTCGCTAAATAGGGTGCTGCAGACAGCGACGCGCTCGCTAACTGGACTTTTACTTCTCCTTGCAGAGCCCGATGAGGAAAATCCCCCTGCTCCCACCATGTAGTGGCGTTTCGGCTCCAGATAATACTTTCTGTGCGTAATAACTAACGCGGTCTGAGGGAACCTTGTCGGCACGGCGTGAATTCGTCCACCTTTAATCAGCGTTGAGGCCGGAGAGCGGCTTCCCACCCCTGTGCCGGGGTTGGTGTGCCGCTGCTGCCGCTCGGGAATGGTTTGCTCTCTCCGCAGCTCAGCCAGCACTGCATCGGATTGCTCGGGAAGCCAGCGGGGCTGCCGGGTACCAGGATAAAGTTCTTGCAAAGGCGTCATTGCAAGAGGAGTGAGTACTGCGCTGTGTGTTGCACGGAGGCTGCGGGGTTTGTTCGGTAACTGCGGGAGCGGTGGAGCACCGTGCAATCTTGTAAGCGTAATTTACTGCCGTGTTCCTAAATTACTTTTGAATTTCACCTGAATCACTTTTACTTTCTGCATTGCTACAGAATTATGAATGGACTTAAAATCTTCAGATATTTTACCTCCTTTTCAGCAACCTTGCCTCTTACTCGGGCAAAACTCTTCCAAAAAATATCAGGCTAATTTGTCGTTCTTCCTTCACAGCTGACAGTGCACACGGAACCACAGTTACAGCCAGTCACTGATTTGTTTCCTGCTTGAGTGCCATAAAACATTTTCAGAAATGGATGGAGAAAAGGAGCAAAATGCTAAAGCTACCAGTGCAGTAGGTGACCTGAGGAAAAGTTGGCAGACCTGGGCAGAGGATCACATTGAATATCAGAGGAAGAATCCATTCAGCAGCGACGACAGGCTTGCATCTAAACCTACTCACAGAGGAGACCCTACCTATGGGAGACCCCCTGAAGGGTCCCGGACAGAGCAGAGAGGGAAAGATGCTCAGTCACACGTGGGTAAGGAAGTAGAAGAGCTGTGCTTGATCATCAGAAGAACTGGAGAGGTGGGAGAAGATGGACACGTGAGAGTGACATTTGGGCAGCTGTTTGAAACGTATGTGACTATTTCCAATAAAGTAGTGGGAATCTTGTTAAGAGCCAGAAAACATGGTCTGGTTCATTTTGAAGGTGAAATGCTTTGGCAAGGAAAAGATGACGATGTGGTCATCACTTTACTACAATAAGGCTTTGTCCTGGAATGAACTTTGCTGCATGGTTCCATTTGGAAAAACATATCTAGATACCATCTTCACAGGCTTTGGTTACAGAATTTCAACTCAGCTACTTACTGGGACACAAGCAGGAGAGGAAATGGGCGAGAAGGATATTTTTGTAAAAATGGTAGAGATTTGGATGGAAATCACAGATTATGAGCTACTCCATCACGCTGACATTGGATTGTCCTTATTATCATCTACTAGCAAGTATATGAGAGTTCTTCAAATAACCATGCTGGCCTACTGCTCTTGGGTTACTGAAAGTATAAATTACTAACTTGCTATCCTACAACACAAATTCCTGCAGGTTGTGAAATACTTACTATGTGGGAGGATGGGATTTGTAAAATATGAAATTGAAAACTCTTGTGGGAATTCATATACTTCTTCAAACAAAGAGCCTGGTATATAGCAAAATTTTAGGTTCAATCTCACATGGTTAAACTGAATAAATGCAAGTTATTTTCATGAAGTAGATAGAAAATTGCAAAAATACCCAAAATTGCAAAAATATCACAGCACGGATACTTGATGGTTCCTAAATTAGTTGCATCTTGCTTGGATTTTGGACAGCTGCGCTGGTTCTGGTATTTAATAGTCAAATCTTACCATTGTACCTTCTCCAAACCTTCTGTGTCCCTTGTTCTTTTTGTTTTTTATCTCACACCATTTTTTTTCCTCTTCTTGTAACACTTCAGAAGTCCACAAAGCTCTGCAGCCTTTCTGGTGAATTCAGCTATACCCCTTCAGAGAAGGTAGGGTGCCACAATGTAAAGATGCAACAGTCAGCAGAAACTCTCTATTGGGATACCTGTGCATTCATAAGGAAAAAAAAAAGTCTCTTCTTTCACCAAAATGTAGCAATGTTTTTTACAAGAGGAGAGTAGAGATACTGTAGTGCCAAATACATAAATGAGAATAACGGAGCAGTCCCATACCTCATTTACCTGCTCTCAGAGCACAGTTGTGAACGCTTCAGAAAGAAAAATAAAGGATTGCTTATATAACTTAGTTGTAATAGTGCTATGAAAAATAATCAGGAGCTCTATTTACAATAGTTCCCACCAGTAAAGCTGCATAATTAGAAATCTAAAGTTCTGTTTTTTAGCAGTGCAAATAGAAGCTTCTGTGTGGTGTTAACTATACTACTTGATGGGTCTTTAAAGTAAGAGATACTGTTCTTGCATCAAAAGGATATTAAAACTTAATATAAATTAGAAACTTGATTAAAGTGATGTGTAATTTTGTGCTATTTATATAAAAGAACTTCTGTTGCAAAAAGCCTAAAAGAATGGGGTTTTGATGTTTTCATCCAATGGGGATTTGCACCAAACTAAGTCTTTGGCTGAGAATTTCATTATTTTCCTGCCTCCTTTTTTATTTTCATGGTGAAAGGACAATGAAAAGAGGGAGAAAAAAAAGGAATAAATTAATGTGCTGAAATAAGTATATCTGGGGAACAGGGCAGTCAAGATTCAGGTAGAGAATGGATTTTAATCACCACATAATTTTACCACATTGGAAAAGGGTGAATATGTGCTGCACTAGGTGCTGTTGGTGTGCTCCCTTAGGTTTCAAACCTACTGCTTCTTTCTAAACAAACCTGCATCTTGCAGCTGAAAAAGAAGACATGTAGTTTGTGATCTTAGCATATATAAAATGCTTTGCTCGTTTTGAAAAAGCATTTCTTGCCAAATGACATGAGCACATCTCATTTTTCAGCTCCTATTAGAGGAAGTCTTTACATGCATTCAGATTTCAACACAAATGGAACTTTTTATAGGGCAACTGTGGAATAAGTTTTGTTTAATTCTAACAATTCTGAAATCAACTCAGTTCTGCTATAGCGTTAGTTCGTAACTTGCAGGAAGCAGCATCAGGCACTTCAGGTGTCATCAGCTGACTAATGGGATGGCACTATCAGGAAAAATAATACATTGCTGAACTTTGTACAAATAATTAATTGCAAGACACACATGTGAGGTAGTATGTAGCCTGAGCACCAGAAGATGCAAGTCCAGCTCACATAAATTTACTACATTTTAATTAAGGCTGGCTCAAATAGTTAAATATCAGCAATCTAGGCTGTCACTGCCATATAAGTGGTAGATGCTTGAGCACATCTACAAGCACTTTTTAAGTACACCTCTGATCAAAACAGAAGCAGAGCAAACCCTTAATGACATGGTCTTACTGACTTTGTAAGCAATTTAAAAAAGCTTGCTCTATTATTATATTTTTAATAGAACCAAGGATTACTGTATAACAAAACTGTTATTTGAGGGATTATTTTTTAAAACAGTTACAGAGCCAGCCTGCCAGCTTTAGATGAACATTCTGGAAAACGTGACTGAAATCCTTCTGTGTGCCCATGCAATGATTATAAACAGCGAGCTGCCAAACTGGCTCAGCACACAGGTTGACAAATCCAGTCTTGTGCTTCCAGCAACAGCCAGTATTTCAAAAAAAGACTAAAAGATAGATAATAGAACTGGTCAGCTTGCCCACTGGTACACTCTAGAATAAAACATTACTCCTGAAGCCTGTTTAGTCATTAATGCATTATATCTAATGCACATGACTCAGTTCGGCTACAGGTTTTACAAAATTATGCTTCATCTGTGATTAGATAAACATCTACAGATGAAACAGGAATTTAAACTTTTCAACATGCAGCTTGTTTTTTTCAGCAGGCTCCCATCAGAGTAAATGGAACAGAATTTATTAAATTGTTTTTGCAAAAATTGTAGCATGTGCGGGGTTTTAGTATTACTAAATTATTTGGATAGTAAGTAAACTCCAAGTTTAAAAGGTGTTCTTCCCCTACTAAGCATCTTTCAGCTGTTTAAATCTCTCCTAAACTTCACTTTGTGACAGATTACCTCAGTGGTCTTTGCCCTCCTTCCACTTGAAGTCTGTAAACTCTGCATCTGTTTTGGACTGTACATGATATAGGGATTATCTGTGGTTTGTTTTGTCAAACACTGAAGGCACTGTCACCATTTCAATAAATGTTGCACATTAGTTTGAAATTGCAAGAGTTTTATGCAGCATTTTATTGTTTACAAGTTTCTCAAATTTAAAATACAATTTTCACTGGTTTGCTCCCATTCTCCTACTTTTATTTACAACTCACACAAAGACTTTAGAATGGTCTGACACTATTACCAATTTAAGCAGAATTTCTTTTTATTTTTAACAGCATTTTACATGTATCTGTCTCATCCTTTTAGCATAAAAGCATTATTCTCTGGGTTCGTGTTAGGTTGGGAGTTTATGTAAAACAATTGAGCAAAAGAGTACAAATAAAGCTTTGTCGTTCCTAAACATGAGGTCAAAAAAGCAGCTTTTCTCTGGACTACTAATACTGGATCAAAGAACAGAGCCAGCAGCAGTGGCTAAACAACTTTGCTTTGCTTCTCCAGGCTCTTGGAGAGTAAGAGCTGCTGAGTTCATGCTCTGTATTGATCTTTGCTCCTTAGAAAGCTCTACAGATGATTTCTGAAGTTTTAAAATTACTAAAAGCTTCTATAGAAGACAGTGACAAAGTTAATAGGATCTGCTCACTGTCTCTTCCAGGGGCTAGCCAGTAATTCAGTAACATATTGGAAGCATTAGGTTAGGTTTTTCAGAAAGTATTTCTTCATCTAATTAAAATAATTATCTTCAGAGTCCAAGAATGCTTGTCAATGCAGAAGGAAAACAGACCACAGTTCTGTGCTGAAAAACACTGATGAGAGGCTGAGTATTCCTCTCAGTAATTAGTGTGCCTCTGTTTAATGCTTTGCTATTTCAGCTGTTCTGAGCCCCGTCTGGTGCTGTCAGGGAGCACGGGATATCCCCATCTTTCTCATCACCAAAACTCTGGAAGTGACATTATACCCAGATTTCTACATTTCCAGTCTTGTCATTAGTGGGGCCGTTCTCCAAAGTTAAGACATAAAAGTTGGTCTTTGTGCTTTCATATACATTTGGCAACATACAGAGTCTGGCTGGCATGGAGGTAACTTGCTTCAGAGCAGCCCAGGTTTTGGGTACGACTGGAAGTGCTGATAACACAGCAGTTCTGGTGATTGCTGAGCAGTGCATGGACAATGTCAGGGCCTTCTTTCACCTGCTCTGCCCCCCTCAGTACACAAAGCTTGGAGAGAGCACAACCTGCACACCTGACACACATGGATATTCCATGACATAAAATGTCTGTAATAAAAGCTGAAGAGGGGGCTTTTTTTTTTTTTTGAGCTGTGGGGGCCATTGCTACTGGCTGGCCTGTGGGAGGTCATGAGTGTTTACCTTTGCTTTTTTCTCCCTCTTTCCTTCACATATTAAACTATCTCAACCCATGAGTTTTTTCATTTTGTTCTTTCTGTTCTCCCACCCCACTGAGTTAAGGGATGAAGAGTGAACAAAGAGCTATCTAGGGTCAACTCTCAGAGTCAGCTATTCCATTGCACTGGAAAATCATCCCAAGATTAGCATTTATTAATCCTTTTTGACAACAGTTCATGTTCATATTTTAAATATTACATGTCACAGTTCAGTACAGTTGCATAAATTAATTACAGATCAGAACACATACACAGTATTAACTCTTGAAAGTCCTTAATGTACACATATTTCGCTAAGTTAGGAGCCAGCTCAAACCTCTTCATCTATTGCACAAAGTTCGGTGGCTTTAAGTCACACTTTTCCTACCAAATTTAACAAATTAAAACCCTAAAGGGCTGCAAATAACATGCAACACCCACTAATAAGAATAACAAGACATCAGGAATAAGATCTTACAGACAGAGAGGTGTAAACTCTGCCAGGTAGAAAATGCAGTTCTTCAGAAGGGTGCAGACTCTCTGAAGTACTGTAATAATATTTCAACACATTGTATCACTAAGGCAACAGGTGCTGGATCCATGGAAAACACAAACTATTATTCAGGGAGGCTTGCAGGTGCAACAGATGTTCTCACCTCAGCTCCATCTGAATGCATCAGGCAAGGGCACTTGCTTAGTTCGGCACCAAGACAATCTCTGTGAACAAAGAAAATCCACTCCATGTGTTCTGGAGTTTTAACTTGCCAAACAGTCTGCCTTATTATGGTACTGAAAAACAAGTGCTAGCATTCCTGATTAGAGTCATGCAGCAAAGGCAAATGTTCAGCAGGTTCCTTAAGCAACTTGGCATGTTCCAATTTTGGGCTGAGTCCCTGCTATCCCAAAGTCAAATCACATTGCTCTTACGTAAGTCTGCCACACACACTGCATTTCAGAACGGCTTCTCTTATGACTTCATTTAGAATCCAAATTTGGCCAAGGCATTAGTAATCTGCAAGGGACTTGCAGTGAGAATAAGACCAGAATATCTGGACTTTTCTATCTACTGCCATGCAGAAGAGCAGTACATTAAATCCATTCTTTTGAATTCTTCACATTCTTTGTAAACATACAGTAACTAATTTCTAATATTGTGCACATAAGAGGGAAAAAAATCTTTAGGTCTATTTACACATAAACTATATTCTATATTATACAGCATTATGACCTTGGGCACATATTGTATTCACTTTAATGTGTCACTGTGATGCAAAGAAGTCAGGTAACATTGAAGTGGTTTTGCACCAGAAAGTCAGTACTGTACTTTCAGCAATGTACATTCTCATCACTAGGCATAAGTAATATATCATACAAATGCAGGTGGGAACAAATGTTTGAAATGTTACCTGCAATCCCAGAACAATGCATCTTGAAAATTAAAGCTTGATTCTGCAGCAAATACTCCCTTTGGTACAATTCATATGCTGTTAGTTGTAACTCGTTGCCTTGGTTGCAATACTTTCTGCTGCTACACTTTGCCTTTTAATAGGAAGAGTTCTCTGCCTGTGTGCATGTGTGTGTGTATTATGTATGTATCTACACAAATTAAATTAAAATTTTAACTAAAATACATCACGCTATTGCCAGGGAAGTATACAGACTGACATATCCAAATGGAAGAATTAGGTTAGCAGCTACAAATTCTGTGTCTGTTTCCTCATAAGGAACTAAAGCTTTTTTTACCCTGGGATATTATTGGCAACATCAAACTGTGCAACCTTAAATCAGAGCTCAAAGACCAAACTGGCTGACAACACAAGCTTTCAGCTGGCAGCATTTTCAGTTTGCAGTCTCTCGATCAGTTGTTCAGCCTATGAAAGAGAGAAAGCAACACATTAGCTACACTGTGGGCCTCCATTTTACTGAAAATTCCACTTTAAAAACAGTGACACTAACAGAGCATTTGCTTTTCACTTTTACAGATTAAGTGTACAGGAGAAGAATACAACAACTTCCTTTCAACAGTAGACTCACAATTTGCTCAAAGACCAAACTGGCTGACAACACAAGCTTTCAGCTGGCAGCATTTTCAGTTTGCAGTCTCTCGATCAGTTGTTCAGCCTATGAAAGAGAGAAAGCAACACATTAGCTACACTGTGGGCCTCCATTTTACTGAAAATTCCACTTTAAAAACAGTGACACTAACAGAGCATTTGCTTTTCACTTTTACAGATTAAGTGTACAGGAGAAGCAGAATACAACAACAACTTCCTTTCAACAGCAGACTCGCAATTTCCACCAAACACTCATGAGGTGATCAGAAGAGGAAACATAACCTATGGAGGTCAGAGGAGGTTTGAGCAAATGAACAGCAGATCTGTTAGAGCACTGTGACTTCAGAGACCTTCAGAAGGCAGCAGTGCTTGGAGCAATCCAGTGGTGAGAGCTGGGATTCTCTGTGAGCCACTCCAGAGCAGCGTGTTGTGACCTCCCATCACCCACCCGGCTGCACCCCCAGCCACCAACGCTGCTGAGGGACAGAGGGCCTTCAAGTGCGTGGCTCCCGTCACGAGCCACATGGTCACATCACTGCACCAACACGTACTTTTGTCATCATGCACGGCTATTTATGCACCATGGGCAGAAGTGGGGCAGCTGTACTTTGAACACATAACAGCACCAGCTCACAGAGCCCTCAGGAGGCTCAGGGCAGGAGGAAGTCTGCCAACAAGCAGGCCAGACTGGGCACATGGAGGCCAACGGGCACTTCTGAAACAGATCAGTCTACCAGTCCTACTGAATTCATCTTTTAATTTGATCTAGTGCTTGAGGCTTTATTAAGATCTCCAAAGGAACTACATTAGGGTGAAAAGCTCAAGTTTTTTAAATGCAGACAGTAAAAATGCAATCAGATACTTTAGGTAAGAGCAACTCAAGAGGAATTCAGTAACGACTGCAGTTTTGAAACAGATCAGTCTACCAGTCCTACTGAATTCATCTTTTAATTTGATCTAGTGCTTGAGGCTTTATTAAGATCTCCAAAGGAACTACATTAGGGTGAAAAGCTCAAGTTTTTTAAATGCAGACAGTAAAAATGCAATCAGATACTTTAGGTAAGAGGAATTCAGTAATGACTGCAGTTGATTTACAAATAAAGCTACATAAAGCATGCAGCAACTGGACATTATATTATCTGAATTCTGTTTTACATTCTTAAACAAGTACCTCATTCAGGATGCTATAATAAAAAAACAAAACAAAACAAATAAACAAAAAAACCCCCAAAAAACCAAAAAACAACAACAACAAAAAAAAGGAAAAAAAAGAAAAAACAAAAACAAACAACCAGAACCACTAGAGCAACTCAAGAGGAATTCAGTAACGACTGCAGTTTATTTACAAATAAAGCTACATAAAGCATGCAGCAACTGGAAATTATATCATCTGAATCCTGTTTTACATTCTTAAACAAGTACCTCATTCAGGATGCTATAATAAAAAAAAACAAAACAAAAAACAACAACAACAAAAAAAAAGAAAAAGAAAAAAAAGAAAAAGAAAAAACAAATACAAACAACCAGAACCACCACCAACCCAAGAACATTTTCCAACCTGACAGCAGGGCAAAATACCAAAGTGCATCCTTACTGGATAACCAGACTTATGAGGGATCTGTCTGAACTAATCCAAAATATAATAAGCAGTAAAACAGCTATATGTACTTGAGGGACAAATATTTCTAAGATGCTCAATAACACATCTACTTTTTTTGAGCTAGGAGTGAACTTCAGCAAGATCCCACTGTGAAGAAGCTGTGTTTCTTCTCTTTAAGTAAGAAGCTGTCTATATTCTTTAAATGAGACAGACCTTTTTCAGCAAATTTGATTTGGGATGTGCAATGATGCCAGGATGCTGCAGCTACCTTGCAAGGACAGGTGCTTTGCTGTATCAAAGCAGTGAGAGTGAGGTTTAGGTCTCTAGAGAGAGATTTTCAAATGCTTTAGTCAGTGTCAGTTCAGTCTCATTGCTAATCTCTACTGACATAAATCAGTACCAACAATGTTTTTGTAAAGCAGGTACTAGGCTTAGTCTAAAGATAACAGGATGAGAAAAACCACATGAAGTGATAAATGCAGTCATTAGGTGGATGATATGTTTTCACCTACACAGGATCAACCAGGTTATGTGCAAAACAGTCCATCACATTTGAATATACCCAAATATTTACAAAGTGTCACAGAAGCACATCACAGAGCCTGAGTCTCAAGCAAGATCCAGAACTACTGCACTGTTTGCTGTTCGTTATTAGCACCCCGTTCCTTAAAGTTTATAAGCATAAACATGAAGGTTTTTACCTTTATTTTTTCTCAGTTAATGCAAAACATACATAACTGAGAATTAAAGCAACAACTAAAATAATTGGTCAGAGAATTTTTGGACATAATTAAAAGGGTAGAAAGACATGGCATTTTCAGTTCACCATCGAAAGCCTATGGCAAAGCTCACCTGCCTGACACTTACCGTGATAAACCAGTAGGAATTGATTCTGTAGTAGATCCTGGATAAGAACCCCATCTGACTGGCTGGGGCCAGGACGTGGAGGTGCAAGTGGGCTATGGAGCAGAACGGTGGCCAGTGAAAACCCATTCTTCAGAAAAGGAAAAGTACAAGACAGTGGTGATGTTAATTCAGGAAGAAGTGCAACATTGCAGGTAATTTAACATGACCCACAGAACTAACACCTCATTGCATTTTTGATGTACATAGAAGAACAAAAACAAAAATGTGCCCTTTCATTATACCACAAAAGGCTCTTCAAAAGTTCATCCACCTCCTCCTTCACATCTCTGTATTTAAGACATATTTTTAAAAGAAGGAGTTAAAAGAAAAAGTATCTTAAATGTATCCCATCTAGTTTTCAGCTGGAAAGCCAATCACATCTCTGTATTTAAGACATATTTTTAAAAGAAGGAGTTAAAAGAAAAAGTATCTTAAATGTATCCTATTTTTCAGCTGGAAAGTCAGCTATCAATTTTCATCATGAAGAGCTGGCTCCCTATTTCTCTACAGTGCTCAAATTATCTTACAGTTTATTTCAGCTATCGAGGGCCTTAAACTAAAGGGTCCAGCACCAAAATCCAATGAATTCTGGTACGACTGAAACACAATGTGGTATCCTGCTTCAAAAGGCCAAAGGTTACCTCTCTTCTGGCACCTAGGATTTAGAGCATATTTGCAGCACATAACGAAAGAGCAGTCTCTTTGGTAAGTTGTTTGAAGTGCCCTCCTTACTCCAAGATGTGCTCAAGAAAGAATCTCGCAGCTGGAACCCAATTTGTGCCAGAACTTTATCAGAAAAGAAAAGTTTGTATTCAATGCCAGCAGATTTTAATTGAGAATTCACGCGATAAGTGAGAGGTAGACCTGATTTCTTCCTTAAAGCACCGTGCAGGTGTGATCTCTAGAGTGACATTCTGAAAAGCAAAAAGCACACTCAATAGGAAATGGGAGGTTTCTATTACATACCTTACGTCATTCAAGTCATTAAAATTATTCTGCTGGAGAACAGCTTTTCCCACTTCCATCATTCTCTTCACTATTAAAACACAAATCAATTTCATTTTAAAAAGATATTCTTCAGAATATTAATTTCAAAAGACTAATCTACATAATCTAAAGACATGGGTTTTTCAAAATATAAACACTGTAACTACTTCTAGTCAAAGAAAAGACAGTCAAGGGAGTGTGTGCAATGATTTACTTGAAAACTTCTACTGATATCAACTTCCACACCTGCAATGATTTCCAGTATGATATTACTATAAGAACTTTGGCCAAAGCCATGCTATCACCACACCCTTATTAAAAAACCCAACAGGTACTGATTGGTCAGAATGATGACTTTACACTAATTCCAGTGTTCTATCTCTACACAGCTACAGGACTTTGATCTCCAGAACCTGTCAAGCCTGGAGTATGTTTCAGAGTTGTACATAAATTTAAATTAAAATAAAACTGTCAGTATTTCTTATTACTAGCACACAGTTTCATTATCACTGTACATGCAGTAACCCCAATACAAAAATTCAAGGCAGAAGTCAGAGGAATTGCTTTGAAGCCAAACACATGCAGAAGGTTTTTTCTCTGGAGAAAACCACCCTGTGTTTACAAGAGAAATACAGCGATGCAAGATTTGCAAAATACAATTATAACTCTTTTCTTGCATCACCTGTAAATTTCCCTAAGGTGGAATTTCTTCATGGCTGCAGTTTCTTCTGTTACTCAACACACTTAGTTAGCCATATCTTGTGAAACAAATTCCAGGACAATGTTTTCTTAAGCAGAAAAAACCAAAAATAAGCCTAGCAACAGTAAATAATGATTTCAACATTTCAGAATTTTGTTTTTTCAAAATTTTTTAAAGTTAATTGAAACACCATTTCTCTTTTTTGTCTGTTATTCCCTTTTTCCTGACAAATAATGCAATGTCTGAAAGTATACATGTTAATAAAATTCTTCTGTAAGCTTTTAGAATTGCATATGCATATCTAAGAAAATGCAACAAAGCAGCACATAAATGCTTTAAAAATAAAGCTGTACTTCCAACAAAGTGCAGAAGCATCTATACTCCATGCAAATGGCAATGGTTTTCCAGAACTGCACAAAAAAAAGTGCCATTCTAGACCAGCACATAGAAGTTCCCAGAAAGGGTAAGTCCCAATCTACACTCGCTGACATCAGCTATTTCCACGTTTACAAATGGTGTCCAAAGTTGTAATTTCCTTGACAACCCCTTATTTCAGGCTGTGAAAAACGATTTTCCTTGAGGTTAAGCACACACTTGCAGCCTTACCTAGAGGTATGTGCTCTGTCTTCAGCGTTTTGCAGTTTCCCATGTGCTTCACGGGCACCACCAGGTAGTGGTGGGGGGCACCGGGTTTTATGTCTCTAAAGCAAACAAGGTCTTCATCCTAAAAAAGGATGCAAACGTTTTAAAACGGACTAGGACGAGGATACTGGCACAGAGTGGGTAACGATGTCTATGTCTCCCATATGGACGCGATAGCAAATGTCACAGCTGACCAGCAGCAAAGCTGAGGGTGTTTCGGAGGCAGCCTCCGGGCACGGGGCGCGTCCGCTGCTGACCTTCGGCCCTCGGCATTCCCCGGCACGGCTCCGAGGCTTCCGGCCGCTGGGCCGGCACTTACGGACGGCACGGCGCTCTCCGTGCCGCGCGAGCGATGTTTCCCCGCCATTCCTGTGCAGGAGCTGAGGGCCCTCAGAGCGCCGCGCCCCCAGGCCAGCCCGTGAGGGAGCGGGGCAGGAGGCGCCTCACCCACCTGGCAGGGGAGCAGCGCCGTGCCCGGCTCCTCCCGGCGGGCGATCCTGCAGAACACGCACTTCCCGTCGTAGCCATCGCGGCCGCCATTCCCGGCTCCGCTCCCCTCAGCGGCGGCGACTCCCGCGGCCTCAGGCCCGGCCATGGCCGCGCTGCCGTTCCTGTTCCTGTTCCCGGTCCCGGTCCCGCTGGCGGCTCCGCCCGCCGAAGGAGGAGCGCCCGGCGCCGGCACCGCCCGCCGGGCACACGCGGGGCGGAGCCGGGGCTCGCCGTGAAGTTTTCACAAAAAACAACCCCAAAACCAACCAAAAAAATAATTCTAAAAATGGGGTGACGTATTTTATGATTGGCCTTTCGCAAGTATTAAAATGAATATTGTATGTGTCATGTTGGAAAGATATGCTGTATTAATTTCCTTAAGTAGTGTGTTAAATATAGTTTTAGGTTATAACATAATGTTTAAAATGGATACTATGCTATGTAAGATATTTTTTTAAAGAGAGGGCTCGCAGCGAGATAGCAGCCACAGGACACCTAAATCTTTCAGAGAAAGGGAATTTATTGCCCCATTATCAGAATGAACTAACTTCTTCCCACCTCACTCAGCCAGGAAGACGCTGTCAGGATTCAGGGGAAGGAGGTGACACTGACCGGACAGAATCCTTTGTTCGAATGGAATTTATGCATCATGTATGAATTGTATGAATATGCAACAGGCTATTCTTTTTTTTTTTAAGGCTTAATCCTCTGTTAACAGGTGTCCTTTTTCGGGTTTATTTTGCCCAGAAAAAAGGTACCCGGACGTCCATAACTCTGGTTTTTATTGTCTCATGTTGTCCTAATCCAAATTGTCCTAATTTTTATTACTTTAATATATTACTATTTTTATAACCATTTTATTACTATTAAACTTTTAAAATTGTAAAAACAAGTGATTGAAGTTTTTCACAGGGAACTAAAACCATGTGAATGCATTCTTAGTTCATTAAAATTCAAATTGCCACGAGGGGGGGAAAAAAAATCAAATATGCAGTAAAGAGGAAAAGGATATCCTTTGAAAAAAGGATAGTAAGTGCTTATGATGCTGGATCCTTCTTGTTCTTCACCAGAAAGTTATGTCCAGCAATTCACTGGTCAATACAAACCAAGAAAAACCTTTGAAAAATTTAGACATTTTGCCCCTATAGTTCAAGTTACTAGGATTTTCGTATGTGCACAAATAATCTTAAAACACCATTTCAGCACTGTTGCAGTTTGTTCAGGGTCACTAATAGAATTCCAGAATTTTTTCCAACAGTCTACATTTTTTTCCTTGACACTCCCAGCAGTGAGGGCTAAAATCTGATGTTAATTCTAACTGTGTAAGTAAGCTGACAGCCCTGAAATTGTTGCCTGCTCATGACAATTATGCTAATTCACAGCCAAAGCAAGATATTTCATAAAATCACAGAATAATTTGGGTTGGAAGGGAACTTGAAGATCTTCTTGTTCCAACAACCCCCCTGCCATGGGCAGGGACACCTTCCACTAGACCAGGTTTCTCAAGGCTCCATCCAGCCTGGCCTTGGACATTTCCTGGAATGGGGCATCCACAACTTCTCCAGGCAATCCATTCCAGTGCCTCACCACTTCCTCCCATCAACTACTTCTGAAACTAACAGAGGATATTGGTAAGTGGTAGTTAGCCTTCAAGTTCTAAAAATGTTTTCTTAATAGTTTGTACTTAAAATAATTTGCACTGTTCATTAGACTAGAGCTGCAGAATCACTGACCCTGCAACTTAAATGTATTCTTCACGCAGCTCAAAAGGCACAAAGTGCTTGTCCCACAGGTGACAGGCTACAGTGTTTTAAAAGGGAATGAGATGAAAAATTAAGACTGAGATTTTCAAAAATGTTTTTTTTTTAAAAAAAAAGCAAGCTGTGCCTGTACAAACAGGACATGGTTGGCTTATCTACCTGAAGCAGCTCACTTGCCAGGTGTGCCACCCTGCAGAGTGCTAGGCAGTCCCTTTGCAATAACCTCACCTGCTCCTTTGCTCTGTTGCAAACTGGCAAATCAAATCTTTAGAGTCTACAAATGAAGATTGTTCTAAACATAACTAGACTTTGCTCTAAAGCCAGCCTTTGTGCAAAACATCCAACAAAAAACCTGCACTTAAACCAGCACCAAATAAAACACCTGCAATTACCTGGGTACTGACAAGCCTGATTTGTGAGTCTGTGTTTGAACATGGTCCTGTATCAAAAATCTGTACCCAAGTACCACTGAAGGAACACATTTCCTGTTGCAAGAACAAGATCTTGTTCTCTCTGAGAGAAAAATTACTAGTGACCATAATTTCCCAGTTACTTTAGGAAAGTTGTTACTGCCATTTCACTCAGAGCAAGGCTCATGGATAGCACATTTGTTCAGTTTCACACACAATTGTAGTTTGTTTTCTTTTAATGCCACTGCTGTATACAATGAAAACCAATAAAACCCAAGAATAAGGTAGTTTTAAGACAACTTTGCTTTTCTTGGACATAAAAATACATGTGAACACTTTGGAAATATGAAAAGGGTGCATATAAAAATGATGCACATGGGCTTTTGACTTCTGGGAAGAGGCTGGTCAAAAAAGATAAGGGGATACATGTCATTCACTGCAGCTGAGAGTAGCAGCAAGACCTACCAGCTAAACTTCTAATTGTTTACTAGCATTTCTTAGCCCTTTGTCAGAGTCTGTCTCAGAGTGAATTCAAAATACAGTTCTCTTTGAGGACACAACATACTACACACAAAAAACCCAAACCCCAAATCCAACCCCACCAAAATCTCCAACCTCCTTATCTATGTTTGTAAAATACAGTATTGCTGAAGTTCTCTTTTTATGAGGTGGCACAGATATTTGTCAGTATACCCTGTAACTTAAGCTGCATCCTTTCATCTTTAAAATGTTCTAAAATTTGTGAATAAAAGCGAAACCGTCTGTAACAAGTTCTGAATGCATAAATTCCTTTATTGAAAATATTGTGATAGCACTGCATTACATATATTCAATATTCATAGTTTCAAGGGTCACAGAATTTTGATTGAACAACACTGTTTTGAATATAGACCACAGCGTTTAGATATGCTTTGACAAGGATAATATAATGGAGTAAGTTGTAGGTAGCAAGAGTGAAATGTATGCAAAATGTTGAACTTGGTTTCATTTTGTTTGTTGTGGGGATTTTTTGTTGGGTGTTGGTTTGGTTGGGTTTTTTTAAACTACTAAGTGGTCTTCTTCCATCATTTAAAAGAGCAAAGAGTGTTAGATATTCTGGGTATCTTCAAAGCATTATGCTGTTAATAACTTCCAAAATATTTTAAAGCATTACCAATAAGAACTTTATTTATGGCTGTATTAGACCACAAAGAAAGGAAGTGTGAAAAGCTCATGTGCAGCGTGTTACAGGCTTACTGTGTATAGCACTGGTTTTTAGACTGTGAAACTTCTGTGCAAGATTAAGATTTAGAAATGCTTTTGAAGGAAAAGCAATTGGTTTTTTTTATTATTATTGACTCTATTCAAAAGGGAAAGAGCAGTATCTAAATTGAGTTGTACTACTCAGTTAATAATATTCCAACATTAGATTTTTCTGTTTTAATGCACACTACTGTCTCTAAAACTTGCCTTTCTCAGGACAATGAAACATTCAAGTCTAAGGGCAGGACAGCATCTTAATAATATTAGTTAGGCCTGGATTGTGTAAACAAAACCACAGCTTAATGGCAATGCAGAATTCCTTAGCAAACAGTGAATATTGCCAGTCCTCTCTCACACTCTCCCCATTTACCAAATCTTTTATGATTTTGTAATATATTTTATTCATAAAATAAATTTCACAGATTTTGTAATGTAGAGATTTGGCTGGGGGAGGGGGAAGTATCTGATAATTTCATTAAAAACAAACAAGAATATTTAGTTGACTGTCAAATCCTAAACCAGACCACTGCTTGAAGTAGTCTTTTAAAGGAAATTATGTGTAATTATTAGGAAAACAAGTTTTACACTAACATGACCTGGTCTGTAAGGAAAAGAACTTTCTTCGCTAAATCTCAATTGTATTTTCTCCTTAACAAATTCTTCAATTTGTAGAGAAGTGCTTATAAAAGCACAGTGGGTGGCTTATTTTGAACCATTTTGTGGTGATACAGAAAAACAGTTCTCTTAGAAATCTCCTTCATAATCAGTCAAATAATACTCAGGCAGGTGCTCAGAGCATGCTATCCCAATTCTGTGGACTGCAACTGAACTGATAAAGTCTACACCAGGGGGCAGTTGCCCAGCGTCTCCATACACTGCCAAAATAGTTATATATTAACAGGAATGTGACAGCAGAGTTAAGAAGAAGCCCTATCCACCTTCTCCCTAATTTCAGGAAAAGAAAATGAAACAGAATTATGCACTCAAGTGTTTCTGCCAGGAAAACAAACCCTCTAATTAGGGTATAATGAAAACCAAATTTCATTTACAAAATAAAAATATAAAAATTAACTTCAGAAATCAAATAAATTGATTCAGAATAAATGCCAATGCATAAGAAACTCACCTCAACAGTAATTATCAAAATGAGATTTGAAACATTAAACAAAAAACCTCATAGCTAATACCTTTACAAAAAAACCTACTATACAGTAACAATAAATAAAATAATTTTAAAAAACATGTTCCCTTAAGTGCTGTGTACACCTATTTCTGATTCTTTTCCATGGCAAACAGTATGCTGTAGATTTTGGTAAATTAACCTTTTATTTTTGGTCAGCATTTGCATGTTGAACATAAATACACATGGAATGTACTAGACAGTTATAGTTCTTCCACAGGATCTTTTTCACAGTTACATAAAAAGTTTTCAACTTATACATCATGAACATTTTCATAAGCATTGTATCTTCAATTGAAGAGTGCTGAAGAGGAAGTAGAAAACACTTCAGAGTGATCTCTCACTGTTCTGTCTCTTACTGCCTCTCAAAACCAATTCTTTTATTCTTGGGTTGTTCGGTTGGATTTTTTGCGTAGTCATGCTCTGGTACAAACTTGAGGAAAAAGCGTGTAACATTGTGAGGCAGCCTGCACCTTCTGGATAGCTTTTAAGTGCCTAATGGATCCAGTCCTTAAGGCAGTCAGTGTTTCACTCAAATGTCCATACTTCTACATCTTGTATTATGAAATCTTCTTTCTTAGTTAAGATGTCATTATTGAAGGTGCTGCAGGAGTTGCTTCGCCCATGATACAAATCTGCATCTAACCATAAACCAAACCGGCCACTAAAGGGAAATACAGAACAGATTTGGTGTTAGATGGAACAGTAAAAGCACGGAAGCTGTATAAACAATCAAAGAAGTGATCTAGGTGACTCTGAGGCCAAATGTTAAGAGCTCATGCTGGCAAAGCACTCGCCAAGAAGCTCGTGGAGCCATCCCCTGGTGTTTGTTTGCACAGTGAGTGGGGCAGGACGTAGGACCCTATAAGTGCCTGCATCCCTGGGCCACCCGGCTGCTCACGCTGCCAGCTGTGGCTACACCAGGGCACAGACCTTGGGGTCCTTTCCTGGCTGTCTGGATGTGGGCAGAGCACCTTCTGGTTATCCACTCCTGATGCAAACCATGCCCAGCTGTCCCATGGTGCAACCTCCAAGTAAGCTTTAGTTGGTTGTACAGCCTTAGACTGACCTTTGAAACCTATGATGTGATTATGCCCTGTCTGTATCCTTGCTCTGTGCATCAACAGAAAAACAACAATTTAGTAAGGACCACTTGATAAACCCTAGATACTGATGGCAAAATTGCCATTAGGAATTATCTTCCAGTGACAAACCGCTTCAGCAATGAGTGATGTATCTACCCAAAACATCTGGTTTTTTTCCTGGCTAAAAACAACTCAAACTCTGCAACAAACCCTACTTGCCTAACATCAGTCACTCCAAGCAAACAAAATTGCTCTCAGTCTGTAACAGAAACTAGATTGCTGAGGTATCTCTGCTGAACAGCTTACTAAAATTAAGTTCAGCCACTTTATTGTGAAGTTTTTCTTGCACCTAAAATTGTCCCTATTTCCATTTAAAATTTCACAAAAAGAAAAGATAGCGATATGATTTGAAAACCAAACACTCACTCACCCTCCACCTCCAAGCTCCAGAGAGGTAGTGTCACCATTGATGAAGTAGGTGTTTTCTCCACTCCATTTAAATACCTGAGGAGGGGGAAAAAACATGAACATATTTGGACTGAGGATTCTTGTAATCTCAAACTACTGGGTACCTACTCTTAGCAGCTAAGAGGTGTGATCATCTTTTTCTTGAAAGAGGAAAAGGTAAGGCAGAAAGTAAAAGATCTATGCATATTTAAAACTATGATCAAAGCACCCTAATCCTTATTTCAGATGCTGCTTCCCTTTTTAAATCAAGTGGTACCCTGTTACAAAGGAACAATGTGCTCAATATGTAAAAAGTGCATAAGCTATGAGCATCAAGGGGTATTTCAGTAGCACTCATCTCTGTTTTGTGGTCACTGTGATCCTAAGAATGCATAAAATTATATCCTGGTCTTGACATCATTGCCTTCTAAAGTGAGTCTTTGACAGTCCACCCCTTAAGTCCTTCCTCCTTCAATTCACTTAAAACCCTCTCCTCACCCTTACAGACTGTCCTCTCTTCAGATAATTATGGACACTTTTGCTTGAAGTATTGCATTGAGCCAATGAATGATTAACTGCATTCATCAACATCTGGCACCTTCTACACTCAAACATGCTATTGTCATTAAAATCTCAGAACTGTTTCAGAAGTGGAACCCAAAAATCTTATTTCAGAAAGTGGACACCCGCTTACCTTGAAATGCGGACTGAAAGTGTAGAGGAATGTTTCACCAGTGCCATAGTAATGGTCACTAAACCTGAAGGGATGAGTAGCATACGCTCCAAATATCTGTCAGAATAAAATGATTACACTACTTTTGTGGAAAGTGCAGAATTCAAGAGAAAAACCCCCCAAACATGTCCAAATACTTTCTAAGAACAACTAAGCTGATTTTCATGTTAGAAGAACTAGTGAAGTGTATCAGATGTGCAAGTATTCCTTCCTATACACATCTTCAGTATCCTGCAAGTTAAAAGCCAGATGACACCAATGGCAGCAGCATTGCTGACTCTGGCAGCTACTGAAGAATGAGACCTCCAGAGAGGCACTGCTTGTGACAGCTCCCTAACTGAGGTACCTAAGAAAGCTATTTCCAAAGGCACTACTGCACGTACTGCAGTTCTAAAACTTTTATTAGTGCAGAAGTACTTTCCTCTGGTAGCTCTAGTTTAGGCAGTAGAAAATATAAAGGAATACAGCAAATAATGTCTTATTTTGGTATGACATGAGTTCCTAGTATGACTAGCATTTCATAATGATCACTTTCCAAAATGCTGCCCTTTCTGCTCCACCCCCGCGGAACAAGCGCTCCTTACCTGGTTGTCCATATCCTTGATGACGAGGAGGACTGGGCTGTCGAGAGAGGCCGATTTGCGGTACAGAGTCTTCAGGCTGGTCCCGTGCTCCAGCGTGCTGTATGCCAGGCGCCACGGGTAGCCCTGCACCCGCGCGGGCAAGCGCCGGGCGAGCTGGGCAGGGAGCAGCAATGAGCGAAATGGTTACACAAGCAACACAGGCACTGCCCCAGCCTGCTCTCTGTCTCGCATTCCACAGAGGCAGCACCACATCTAAGAAGGAAACCTGAGGGCTTTCGGCCATACCTGCTCTATGTGCATGTTCTCCAGAAGAGCGCTGTGATGCTTTAGGATAGGCAAAGTATCGTCATCTTCTTCTTCTTCTTCATAGTAACTGCAAACACTCTTTCGTCGTTTAGCTTCTTCTACAGTAATGATCTGTGACAAGAAAACAAGTGTCCAACCTAAAGCACAGCTCTTACACCATCAATCCTCTGTTAAAGCCAATTCATTTAAAACTTACTCCTCAGCTGTCACACTGTTTGGAGAAAAAACACCGGGATAATTTTATCAAGCACAGGTACCCTTAAGCCAATGGGGAAAATCTTTAGCTGGAGCTCAGTGCCACCATGGCACATAGCAAGCAACAGCAAAAGCTCTGAAAGGAAGCTGATGAGAAAGAGAAGGGGAAGCAACAAGGCCTAGCTACAAAATAAACAGGAAACCTTAAACCGTCTTTTCCTTCCATGAGTGTATCACCACAGGGTCTTGTCTAGGAGCAGGAATTTCCGGATGCAGCTGCAGAGCCCACTGAGCTCTGCTATGCACCTCGCTGCCAATAAGGCTTCCAAATGGCTTTCATGTTACACACTGATCAAGTTTTGCATAATTCCTCCACGCCTTCACGATCACTGCTGGAACTTGCAGAAGCTGTCAACAGTGGAGACAACTGGGAAGAGATGCCCAGAGGTCCCACACACTCCTACCCCTCAGGCGAGAAAGCAAATGCGCTAGACTGACTCCAGGTGTGGAGTTAACCACACAACAAAGCACGGAAGTTTTGCATGAGGACCAGGCTGGTGAGGAGCTCTCACAGCTCTAATACCTTCAGTGACACTGGGCATCCCCAGTGGGATGAGAGCTACACATCTGCTGCATGCACTCATGTGCAGTCCACGCTCTCTCGCAGATGCCTGGAGCTGAGCAGGGCACGTGGGCACTGGCATTCCAGTGCAGGGTCAGGAAAAGAGAGGAAGGCAGGATCACAAACAAAATCCAGCCTGCAGAACAAACACTGCTCTGTGTCCCTGCACACCTGAGCATTACGGGTATTCCTGCCCATGATACTGCAAGAGCTCTACAGCTTCATCCCGACCTTCTAGCCTCTTCTTCTGAGACTACAGATAATCCTGTGCTGGAATATTTTTCATATGGTCAATTACAGGAAAGGTTTGCACTGCAAAATTAAAAATTAAAGTAATTAAAAATCTAAAAACCACCCACAATAAACTGTTAAAAAATCCCAATCTTTCTACTTGTATCATTGTTCTTTTTTCACCTTCAGACTGGTTTGCCTTCACTCCTCATATCCCAGAACATTATTGTATATTTTTTAATTAACACCTTTTAGACATTAAACCAAAAGTACACAACTCCCCTTTTGAGGACTTTCTTTTAGGAACAGTCTCTCCCACTCCAGGAATGGGGGAGAAGTATCAGACAACAGCAAACAACCAAGAGGTATCTGTAGCAAAATACAACCAAACTCACTTAGGTAACATTAACACAGTTGAAAATTGCTAATTGGCTCCAGAGACAGACAAGCCCCCCCTCTTCTCTGCATACACATTTATTCAGTCTCCGAATTGGATATATGAATGAAGTTCAGTTAACAGCTGCAGAAAGAGGCATCTGTAAGGTCAGGTATTTACAGACCACACAAAAGCAGAAATGGATGAAAAGAACTGACCACTACAGAAACCAGATATACAAAGTCTTTCCAAGATTTTATAGGGCTGAGAAAGGAAGCCACCTGAGGTGGAAATGCCCCTCTCCTGAGTACAGAGCATGTTTATTACTGGGACAGAAGTTCCATCATCAGATCCACACTGTTCAAACGGGAAACAATTCGACATACCTCCACAAAAGGTTCCTCCTGGTCCGGTCTGGCACAGTAAACAATTCGAATATTCAAAGGCATTTGTCTCTGTTTCATCTTCTAGCAGTTTATTTTCAGTACCACTACTCTACCCCTGCTCTTGTGGCAAGAGTTCTCAGCCCCAGGAGTGACAGACAGCTACTGGCCAAGGCATGCTGTGATAAAATTGCTTATATGCTGCTCTACAATTAGAGTTTCTGTTTCCCCGCAAGGGAGAGTGAAAGTTTCACAGTCATCATGCCCAAATTTGGACTTTATTCAATAGAGATTTCCTGGCAAACCTACTTTAAATCGGTGAAGCTGGAATATATTAGAAATGAAAGAGACACACCTTTAGAAGCAGTTTCCAGCTTTTCTTCCTTTCAATAAATATCTAAAAAAAACAATGAGAGAAAAGCTCCCAGTGTGGTCAGATCTCTCCTACATCTGTCGTTAGATCACTGACTCTCCTCCACTGTGGTTTTATGAAAATGGTATGCAAATAACTGAACAGTAAAATCTAGAGCAATGTATGACTGCACTCAGCTCTAAGCAAAACGAGGAAGGCTTTTTTTTTATATTTCAGCTCACAAAGCAATAACATTGAGAAGCTACAAAACTGTAAAAATATTAGCTCTTTGGGAATAGAGGTTGCTACATTTAAAATGACAAGTCCCACTTCCAAGCTCCATTTTTTCAACAGAACATACTATGAAGATCAAAATGCTCAAACAAACAAATAAAAAAGAGGGTAGTAGAATTTAAAGAAAACAAGTTTATGTTTAAGATGAATAATCAGGTAACTTTTTTAATCACCATCAAAATATTCCCCACTTTGGAATTTATGTTTCTGTTTCATTTATCCCATTCCTTTAGCACAGAAAGTGTTTAAGCATTGAGAAATGTGGTTTCAAAAAGTGTGTGTAAGCTTATTTCCCTCAGAAACCAGGCTTTGTACGCAGAAGAAGGAGATAACAAGCATAGGCATGCCAAGTGGTTGAAACAGATTGCAGAAGACCACACATGAAAAAGCCAAAGTCCAATGATAAACTTATCCCACTTACACCCAATATTCAAACAGTACTGCTGTGTGCACCCAAGAAGCAAGGGTCTGGCCTATCACCACACATCCATCCATTTCAACCAGCACACAGGAGTCTGGGTTGATGTTTACATGCATATATACGTTTTGAAGAATTTATTTGTAGCATATAAATACATTAGGAATTTAGCAATGCTGACCACATATGCCTGTATAGCTTTGCAAAAGACTAGTACCACATGGTCAAAATATTTACACAACTTCTGCTGGTTGCACACCAGAGAGCTCCCAGTTGTTTACTTGCTCTTTCTAGGGAGAGAAGAAATGAAGACGAAAGGAATATAAATACATTTGTGAGACAGATACAAGCCTTAAGGAAACACCATAAAATCCTCCAAAGAACAATTGCTGAGATTCTCAGCAGAGGATGCACACTCAATATGCACATGCTTCATGTAAAGGCAGAAGGCACTCACCTCCCAGCTTTTAGTAGTGGGCTCACTAAAGAAGTTGTCAATCATGTCAAGCTCCTCCTTTTCTACCACAACAAAACCTTGCTCTTTGGCATCTTTCCCATATATTTCTGGTGACCACTGAACAAAAAATGTGTACAAGTGATCCACCCTGTGAAGAGAAGAGGAGGAGACAACCATTGTTCAGTGGTCCATGAACCCAACACTGTCACGCAGCACAGAGGTGTTGCCCAATGCCAAAGCAGGGGCAACTACACAAAGAGGATAACCTTGTACCTCCACCCTCCCATACCACACAAGGCAGCAGCTCCCTCCACCTGGCAGCTTGAACCACTTCAAGGTTTCTCTGCTTGCTCTCCCTACAATGTATTTTTGTCCTCTCTTTGTTACATGCAAAGCCAAAGAATGATGGTAAAGCAATATGGCTTGTCCAGTCCCACACAATTCATATTAAGAAGTCAAATTGATTGGTATTAGGTCATAGTCACAAAAGTTAACTCTGTACAACATTCACTTTACCATTTAGTTTGACCTCCAGCAATGAAACAAGCAATGAGATCACCAGTGAAGTCTACACTACAGTTTTAGCTGCCCTTTAAAAGTTATAGAGGCTAGCCACAAAACAATCTTCATTCTCTTAGCATTATGAAAATAAGCTGTTATTGACAGCTTTGCTAATGATATAGTACCAGCAGCACATGCTCTTCCATAAATGTAGTCAGCTCTCAGCCACTGTCTTTAAAAAGATACTCCGTGACAACATCCATAACAAACCACAAAACAATTTCTGAAGAAGGAATTTATGTATTAAGTTAAAACAAAAATGTGCAATTTCAAACAGGAATGCAACAGTGGATCCACTATACAAGAAGCTGAATTGCCCACAAAAAAATCAGACCCACAGTAAAGAGGGCAGATAGAAAGATAGCAAGTGCTTATGACATCAGATCTTCCTCCAGCTTTTCACTAGAAAGTTACATCCAGCAACTCTTAGATCAACAGGAAACAGAACAAACCTTTTAGAAATACAGACATTTCCCCCCCACCCCCCACCGTATTTCAAGTTACTTGGATTTATACATATGCACAAATAATCTTAAAATACCCTTTCAGCACTGTTACAATGTCTTAGGGTCACTAGTATAGTTTCAGATTTTTTCAAATGAGTCTACAAAAAGAATAAAGAATTTACTTTGCGTCATCGTGGAAATAATGAAAAAGGAATAAAATAGCATGGTTCACAGAGGTTTCAGAAAAAGCAGTCTGATTAGCTCTCTGCTAATTAATCTGAGCTTTAATTGAAAGAGACAACTGACTTGAGCACTGTGTATTTTACAGTACACAGTATAGTAGTCTTACTCTGGAAAGACAGCTACTTAATTCCTACAAATCCCTAAGAAAGGACAATAAAAGTAGTGGTTTCTGCTGTCTGGGTAAGATCGGTTTGAAAGCACATTTATGCAGGTGGATAGGAGAGCAGCACACTTGTATCACAGAATGTATTTATGTTTTAAGTCATCTCTGGAAATCATCTATGCCAGCTGCTGCTTATAGCAGAGCTAACTTCCAATTTAAAGGAGGTTGCACATTCTTGTCCTTTTGAATTGGAAAATCTCCAACAGTGATTCTACAAGTTCTCCATGCATAGTCTGCCTTCTGTGTTTTTTTTCTCTTTTTTCTCATCACCATTTCCTCCAAAGCATGCAGCACATGATCTGAGAAGGATCTGGTGCCATCCTACATTTTCTGTTTCTCATCCCCTCCCCTCCATTTTTTAACCAAGTGTCTAAAAGGAAGAGGGGGTTAATGACCACCTAAGTTGTTTGGCTGTACTTCCTTACTTGAGTCAGCAAGAAGTGAAGCCTTCATTACTGTAAGGACACACCACTGACATGTTGAGTTTGCTTTCAACTTCCTCAACTCCTTTTCAGCAGAGCTACCTCCCAGGCTGCCTTTCCTCACCTACTGCTGCAGGAACTGCTCCATCCCAGGTGCACAACTTTTGCATTTGCCTTTTCTGAACTTCCTGACGTTTCTGTCAGCCTGTTGTGTTGAGGCCCCTCTGAATAGCAGCATTGCCCTCCAATTATGAGACTCTCCAAATTTTGTGTCATTCCCCAAAACGAAACAGGTGTATTCTGTCTTAATGTCCATGTCACCAGTGAAGGCATTAAGCAGTATCAGTCCCCAAGAATACCACTTGTACCTCACTGCCACTCAGGCCAGCTACCTTTGAGCCCAGTGGTCCAGTCAATTTTATAACCACCAGTAACCTGCCTGTCCAGGTCATATCTTTCCCATTTGGCTACAAGGATACTATGGAAGATTGTGTTGAAAGCCTTTGTAATGTGATGGTATCAATCCCTTGCTCTCTCCTTGCTCAAGGAGCTAGCAATCTCAAACAGAAAAGTTATTTGGTCAGTAGAGAAGCAATTTGTCCTTGGTAAATATATGACAGCTGATCACGATCACTTCTTTCCCTCTGTGTGCTTGGAAATGGTGTCTGTAAGGACTTGCTTCCCAGGGACTGAGGTGAAGCTGACTGCCCTGTGCTCCCACAGATACTTCCTTATGATTTTTCTGACAATGGTTGCAGCAGTTGTCTTTCCAATTTTTAAGGAACACTCCCCCTGAACATAACCTTTCAAAAGATGATAGAAAGCAGCTCTGTAATAACATCAACCAACTTCCTCAATATACTCAGAACATTTCCTGTCAGGCCCCACGGACTTGTATATGCTCCGTTTATTTAAGTAGTACATAACTAAGTTTTCCTGTGCAATGGACAGTTGATAGATCCAGACAGTCCAAATTTTAAAAGTAGCAGCACGGACTTGTATATGCTCCGTTTATTTAAGTAGTACATAACTAAGTTTTCCTGTGACAGTTGATAGATACAGACAGTCCAAATTTCAAAAGTAGCAGCATAAAATAGAAATAGGTGATTACAGAGGTGATGTCATTCTGAAAGGGGATGCTCTGCTAATACAATTCTAACATTATGCTACAGTGGTACTTCCAAGCTACCATATTGAAAACATTTGATCCAATTTTTAAATTGAAAAGCCACTTCTTGAGGAACTTTCTTACAGTCAACTAGACAGCTGTGAGAAAATTTATCCTAGAACTCAGTAACTGTTTTGATGATCACATGCTTATGAGTGTATCATGTACTAAAAGAGAGACATCAATAAAACAAAGTACTTGGAAAGAGATAACTATAGAAACCTGAAGCTAGTAACTCCAGAAAGAAAATATTCAAAAGGCTCTAAGTCCAACCAATGCTCCCGGCCCAGAGAAAGACATTAATCCAGAAGTATCCTATGACTTTGATGTAAATGTGCCTGACTAAATGATGACTCTTTACTAATCTTGAGCACTGAGGTATTGTAAGCCCTCATATGCTTTAATGAGCTTATAGAGACTTCTATGAATCCTCTTTATAAGACATTAAGCTATAGATACAAACAGGTTTTTATAAATTTCCTCTGTACAGTCTGATATCTTATTATCAGGAGTCTAGGATTATTCTCCTTATAAAAGGCTAATTCAAAAGGATTCTCAATCTAGCAAAAAAGTAGATGCCCTCTCAGCAGCACAATCTCAGTGCAATGTCTTTTATATCAACTTCAGTGCAAATTATACATTCATAAATCAAACATGTTTGCAGAATTTACACTGTGGAAAATTAAAGATATTTACTTCTTGACTGAGGAACTAGTCAATGCTATTAGTTACAAGCAAAGAAATTCTGCATTACTATCTGTTTCTTGGTGCAAGACATTTTCTTGTAAAAGGTCTTCAGGAAATGTGTGACCTAATTACTGAGCTACTGCTACTCAAAATTCACTAGGGTGGGAAACCTACATACCACTTAAACATAAATCCACATAGCAAGAGCACACACAGACTTACCCTCTACTATTGTAAGCTATACCCATTGCAAAACTTCCAGCAAAACAGAATCTCTATTTGTGTCCAAAAGCACGGGTGCCCTTCTTCTCAGCTGAACCTGGCAAGAAGCTGCCCTAGACTGAGTAATCTGTATATAAGGCAACTCAAGATGCCCAGCACCTCCTCTGCATGCTGAGGTGAGCACTGCTGTGACCAAGCAAGGAGCACAAAGCAGTGCTGCAGTCACTGATTAACTCAGCCACACCGTGCTGGTCATGGGGCGACGTGTGCTGGGACACACTCGGCGCCTGGGAAGCCACGCATGGAGAGAGAACAGCTACAGCTACAGCAGGCACAAAAGGCAAATGAGACAGAAGGTTCAGTGCCTTTATAAAGAATATCAGCCTAAAAGTCTTCTTTCTGTATTAATAACATTTCCAGAGGCTTTCAACAAAAAAATAAACATAAAAGTACTGGGCCCAGAAAGTGACAGCAGCCAGCACATGGAAGAGCGGCTCTGCTGGGAGCTGTGGGCTATGGGAACAGGCTGAAGTTGGAGCCATTTTCACAACGGATGACAGAAGCTGTTTTAACAGCAAACATTATGACCATGGAAAAAATATAACTAAAAGCAAATCAGAGGAAGATTTAACCTACACTAAATATAGACATGCAGACCAACTTTTTCATAGTCTCACTCCAGATTTGGACAGCTTTTTTGATTCTGTTGTTTTTTTGTTGTTTTTTGGGTTTTTTTAATTACTACAAAACATTAAGATACTGCTCAAGCTACTGTGACTGGACTGGTTTGGTTTTTTTTTTTTTGTTTTTTTCTTTTAAATTACTACAAAACATTACGATACTGCTCACGCTACTGTGACTGGACTGAAGAAAGTGTTTTATTTATGCTGCTTTGTGGCCAGCAAGATGAGAGTGTTATTCTTGATATTTTCACACATGAATACAAATCGCATTCCAAGTAGTTTTAGACTTAGTGAATTATCTCCCATTTTGTCTAAAATACATGGCAAAACTATCCGAAACAACCTACTGTTCATGGCACTCTCAAGATGCAACACTTATGTTTATATTCTACACAATACTGATTCAAGAATATCCCCAGAAGGTAGGAAGTGTTGTGTTTTGCTTTGGGAAAGCATCCAAGAGCTTGGAGAAAACACCATCTTGTTCCAGAGGCAAAGACATGCCTGGCATTAATACAAAGGAATAGGTCTCACATTTAATTTCTCCTCCAAGTTCTACTTGATCTGTCATGCAATTCCGGGGTGTTAAAACAGGCATGAATAGCACTAAAGGGACCCAAACTTACAACCAGTCATTCACCACTACTTTTGATCAAGATCCAAACAGCAGCGCTGACACCAAAGATCTGGTGTGTCAGCCAGCACGGCCAGGTGCGGCTGCAGCAGCTCACTACAGAAGTTACTTTTTTTTCATTATAAAAACTGAAGTACAAACCAGTTGTCAACACTTCAGTTAATATATGGATTAGGTCTGCTCACCATTCAAAAAGCTTCTGCTCATAAAAGGACAAGCAGAAAAACTGTTTGCCAAGTCTGTGGTTAGAAGCTTGATAGATTTACCTGTTACAGACAGCAGTGATTAGAGATGACCTCGGGCAGCTCAGCAGCTTTATTCACTGTTAGCTGCACTAACCCCAAAGCACTAACTGACCTTGTGTGGTATTACAGCATCACTCCAACTCCTTGAAGTATTTACTCAAACTTCAACTCAGAATTTTCTGAACCCACCCTTTTGCAGTCCCTGAGGAGCCAAGGACTAGCAATCCACAAACTATTGATCCATAGAAAGCAAGCAAACCAAAAGCTATCCAGCTGCTCTCCCAAGGACCACATTTCAGCTGGATTAAACCTCTTCCTCTCCTCCAGGAAGAGTTCCAAGACAGCAACTTTCACACTACTACAGACAATCAAAACACTCATTTTCAAGCCACAAAAAACATAAACATTTAAATCAACACAGATCATACACATTTGACATTAAAATTATTAAATAAAAATTATTTTGAAAAAGTTGACTGCATTTGAAAGAGACATCTCTGAGATGGATTACAAGTTCAAATTCCTCGTTCCTGGCATCTAATTTACCAGAATCACTGATTTTGGTTCATCAACAGACCAGAGAATTGCTCTAGTTGCCTTCTGTCAACAAAAGTATCATATATTTGATTTTTCACAGCCAGTGAAAATTCTTGGGTGATATATGTGGAAAATCATAGACCTCTATGTCTCTAGTTTGTTGGTTTGCTTTTTTCTAGAGTACTATTTATGTATTAATGCACATCTGCAGGAAAACATTTGTGTTCCTCAATTTTACTGCAAAGGGACTATTTTTAATGGGACAAAAGACAGAAATCCTCACACCTGTTTAGTTAGGAGCATCTCCCTTTTCCCACATGATTCTCTTTGCTCATGTGAAATACTTATTTTTTTTAGCACTGACACATCCAGCCACTGCTCTCCTTTCCCTCACTTCCTAGACTACAGCTGAAATCCTGATCATCTCCCAGTTCTTCTACCATATGTTAGCTGCACATATATCCCTCTTTCCATCTTCAAGTGGCACCTGAGCCCTTTTTCATTCCCACTGAGAGCCACATTAGACCAGCAACAAATATTGCTATAGACCAGCAACAAATATTGCTTTATGTTCCTGACACGCAATGAAATGAGGCTACCCCTCAGCATCCCTGCTGCATTTCACAACTTGGACCATGCAGGCAATGCAAGATTCAGCTCTGGAAAGCACTACACATTTAAAAAGTAACAGACAGACATGTTTGTGCTGACAGGAGGGCAGCTTACCTTTCCCGAGGAACAGCAAACCAGTATTCTGGTTGCTTTATCTTTTTACTGTACTGTTGAGACACAGTCGTGCTCTGAGACACAAAGGACTTTCTCATGGGCTTGCCTACTTTAATGCACAGAAACATTGGAGGAGTCTTGCTCTTCTCCTCTTTTGAAGGAAGCATATCTGAATAAGACACAAAAGAAATGGTCTGCTTACAGGAAAGTACAAATGCTGCAGCTGATAAAACACTGTGACAAGATAAATAATCTTGTGCAAAGAAATACTCAGAGGCGCCATACACAGAATTACACCTCATTTCACCAGCACAACTGGTTTAGTAAAACCACGTTCATCCTAAACTGAGGCCATTTATTCTCATTTTGTCACAGCCTGTATCCCCCTCAGCTGTACAGCTGTGTACAGAACAGCCCTGTAAAGAAATAGATAAGATGAGCAGGCTGAGTGCTGCCTGCAACACAAGGCAGGAAAATAAAGGGGACATGCAATAGGGTCCAGAAAACCTACCCAGGCTGAAGGGTAATCCTGCATGCACACACACACGTACGCACACAAAAAGTCCAATCAGTTTCTCAACTCTGTCAGTCACACAGCCATACAAGCACCTTTTATCTGCACAAGACAAGGCCAAGCCTAGAACCAGTTTAAGCTCCTTAAATTGCTAGTATGACAAAAAAAACCCCAACTTGCTTATTAAACTACAGCTTGAGTCATACTGAAGTTGCCTTCTTTGTTTTAGCAATACATGTACAGCCAAATACCACCAGCAGAAACCCTTATGAAAAAAAAGAAAAAAATAATTTTAAGAACAAGGGTATGTCCACTGGTTCATTAAATTACCCAGAGAGGAGCATACTGAAGTTGCCTTCTTTGTTTTAGCAATACATGTACAGCCAAATACCACCAGCAGAAACCCTTATGAAAAAAAAGAAAAAAATCATTTTAAGAACAAGTGTTCTTAAAATAGAGACTTCCATTTTAATCATCTCCCACCATATGTTTTGACACAATGGTATGTCCACTCGTTCATTAAATTACCCAGAGAGGAGCAACAATGCTCCAGGACAGACTACTGCTTAGAGGCACTGGACTGCCATAGGAATGGTAATATGTGTGCACATGCTCTGAACAGAGATTTCATTTAGGTATGTGCTTTCCTGGAACAGCCTGAATTATTTCTGATAATGCAATGAGCAATCAGGAGAAAACTGATCACTCAGTAGGACTATACATGTACTCCTATTTATCACTTTTTTAAGGGTTCCCATAGCACGAGTGACACCAGACACATGCAAATATTGACAAGAATACTTTGGTGCCCCCCTTCACAGCAATGCTCTACTACCTTGGATACTATCAGAAACAAAACTGAAAGACTTCAATGAGGCAACAGTGGCTACCAACACAGAGTGACAATTCCTAGGCCCTGCCAATACTGAAACTGGATGACATTTCACTGTCCTTCTTAAAGCGAGCAAACAGAAGTAAAAATTATATAAGCAGTGATCACTGAATGTGGAAAGAACACACAAGCTACTTATCAATCTACAAGCTTTGAGAGTTTGAAGACAGCAGGTAATATAAAACTGAAATACACAAGGAGTAAAAAAGAGACCAGATATTACAGAAAGAAGAAATTTAGAGAAGGCTGTCAATTCAAAGGTTACCGTCATAATGCTGTCCAAGCCTCAGAGGAAACAAGGATAACCAGAGACCTACCTTCAATTGGCACTTGAATTTTCTGCAGCAGCCACAGTCTGATTTCTGATTGATTGTCTAACTGGGTTTCTTGACAGGTCTTGTCTACAGCTGGTACTAATGAAGAGTCCACAGACTCTTCCAGATCCTTTTCCTCTGCTGCTGCTGAGCTGATTTCTAATGAAGGTGCTTTCCTTTCAACACAGCAGGAATCAAGCTCCATACTTTTAACTGTATGGACTTCATTAGCTTGGGACTTTGAACAGCTAAGTGTAAGGTCTATGCCAATTGCTTTATTGTTTTCACCTTTCTGGATTTCAGCCTTGTGTAAGTCTTCAGATGACTGAGACCCATTTCCATCTTTATTGAGGTAAAATTCAATAAGTTTATCTTTCTCTAGCTCTTTCTTAGTGTCCAATTCCGTCTCCACCTTACCTGTCGGGGTACTGACACATTTGTTTACTTCTGGAATAACATCTTGCTTTTCACACAGCTCTAAGTCTAAGTCAGCTTTAGGTTCAACACTGTCCTTTTTTTCCAAGGAATCAACTGTCAAGTGCTCCTGGACTTCTGTAGTAGGTTTGGTTACCTGCTGCTTAGTTCTCCCCAAGTCCCTGGGGTCAGCCAGCAAGCCTTCCATTACTGAGATTTTCCTGTCCAACCCTCTATCCATACGAGATGATGTCTTTTCCAGCTCAGTGAACTCATCCTCTCCTTCTCCTAGAAGGGATTTTTCTTTGGTTTTGGTATCTGAAGCATTTTTTTCCCTGGAAGGGTCCTTGGTACATGCATCTGCATCAAACTTTTCCAAATGTTCAGTGGCAGTGATGTTGTTGGGAAACTCCAGAGACTTGGATTTGATTGAGCCCGTACTCTCCGATGACTGAAGAACTTCAAAATCAGCGGACTTTTCCTTATCAGAAGGCTTTATCTGTTTGGCACCCAGAGCAACAGATGCATCTCCATTCTGCTGCCTCTTTTCCTTGCTAAGGGATTTGAATTTGCTGAAAGGATTGATATCTTTCTCAGAGGACAGGTCTTCCCATTCTCCCGGCCTGTACAGAGGACAAAGATCCTTTGGTATGTCACTGTCAGGGGAAATGATGGATGTACATACGATGTTAAAAGCAAAATGGAAATGGAAAAAAAATGAAAATAAAAACTAAACATCAACTTAACTTAAACCATGAAATTAGTTGCAAAATAACTTCCTCCAAAATAAACACAGAGTACTGGAAACAAGTGACTTTAAAGACAATGAAGAAAAATGCTGAAAGTATAATATCAAAATAAAATGAGTAAACCACTTTGCAGAATATGCCATGTAGGTGAAGAAATGTAACACATGTAATAAGAATGTGCAAGTCATCAGAAGTTCCGTAATAAAAAAACACAGGACATGTATTTAGCTGCTGGATTTAAATTCAAATCATATTAATACTGTAATTTCCCACACCTGACAATGAGTCAACATCTACAACCATCCATGCTTCTCTAGTCAGTACAAATGTATTTTTGAGAAAAAAGAAAATCAGAGATAAGCTGTATCCTGTTTGAACACGTTTACTGCAGAACAGTAACAGGCAACACAGTTAGTAGCTTTCTTCTTCTATTTGTCTCCATTATTCAAACATACTGTTTGAATGCAGGCTTCCCCAAATATTTCTTTTTAAGCAGGACAATCATAAAACATTTCAAAATGAAAAATTCTGAATAAGCCTATCAGCATAAAACTTGAGCTCTTTGTTACTGCTAAAACTCTGAGGAGAATTAGAAAACAAGATCCTCATCACTTAAAAATTACTAAGAAGTTATTAAACACTCCAGAAGTGAGTGCAGCAAGACTCTGTAAAGTTTTTCTTGAAATGAGAAATTCAATGAATTTCACTGTTCAATCAGGTATTGCCTGTAAGAACAAAATCCTGCTTAGAACAAATAGACAGCAGTGCCTGGTCTGTGCATAAATGAAAGCAGCCCACCCTAGAACGTCTATAATGTATTATAGATTATAACTATCAATGAATTTCTAGTTCTGAGATACAAGTATTCCACAGTCTGGTGTTTCTGTAAGTCTTGAAGATAGCAGCTGAGGTGCTGTTACGTTCAAAACTTTCAAATACTCCTCTGAGAACAGTTCTGGTAACACAATAATGGTCAAAATTTAAACCTCTTCACATCCACTCAAAGAGCCCTAGAGACAGGTCAGTGCCAGAGCCCAACTGTGGCATATTACAAATGCTTTTATTGATTACTGGTTTGTACTCCTTTGCACTTAGGTTCTCACATTTGTGTTAAATGCCACTTAAGTGTTCTAAAGAGAAAGTTGTTGTTCTGAAGAACAACACAAGTGAATAATTCCTTTGCTGGCACTTTATTCTGTTGCACTAAAACTCTTCCCCTCCATTCCTCCCATTCCCCACCCCTTTTCCATGACCCTTACTGAAAATCTGCAAACGTAAGTTCAGGGAAGAACACTCCTTACGATGGCAATGCATCTTTAATCTTCATGTGAGAGATGTCATTGTAGAGAGCTATAGAGACAACCTCCTCCATGGGGCAGATGAGCCCATATTCTTCACAGCCATTCTCAATTACCAGAGGATCAGACTTATGTGGGTCAAACATGATATTGTTTGGAGTTACTATCATGACTCCTCCAACAACGCCCTAAAACAGGAGAAGAAAGAGTCAGCACATCACATGTAATGCACTTGTCATTGGGTGTTGAATTTCAGGCTTACTACCCTAAAAGCAAAACCACTTTCCTGCCTCGTTGTACTGTGTCATGCAGTGTTTGCTAGTAAAATACTCTGCTTTCCAATTGCATCAAGTCAGACATTTTAAGGAGAGAAAAAAAAATTTCTTAGTATCATCCAACTTCCTGGCTCGTAAGGAAGAACATCTGAATTATTCATCTTTCAGTACTGACTGCTACAAGCTAAAAATGTGATTATTAATCAATCTCAGACAAAACAGATTAGTGGATTTATTTTTTAAAAAAACTACATAGCATTTTATTCTGGATGCAGCTAGTTTCATTTGATCCATAAATTTACATGCAACCAACACAACTGCATGCAGTTTTACTCATGGAAACATCCAGGTTACTATGCCAAGCTAACAGATCAGAGGTCTCCTTGATCTACTTTCCCAGAGGTACATGCAAAAGCTTTTTCATACAGGGATCTGATATGAGAAAGCTTCTTCCCAACTTAGAAACAGCTCCTATGATTGGTCCAAGCATATTCTGCACAGCTGCAGAGGACTCATTTAATTCTTCAAAATGTGCTCTAGCAATGGATTTGATAAAAGGCTGCTGCATCAGCCATTACTCAGCATCAATCCATGGCAACTGACCATTTACCAAGGTTTAAAAAGATTTCCACTGTCTTACTTCTGCACCCTCTCCTCCAGATGAACTACACAATTCACCAGACTAACTCAGAATCTGTCTGTAGATCATGGCATCTGACAAATGTGAGACAGAGATCAAATGGAATGGCCCACACTGCAGGTACTATTAATTATATGGGGTCATCCGCAAGGCAAGCCAAAGAAGGCTCATGAATGCACAGGTAAAAGACCACAAGCTTGGTCTGTGGGGCTTTTTTAAAAAGCAGGTAATCTATCAAGCTGATGGCTTGGCACTGGCAAATGAGCACATGAATGGCTGCTCCTTTATAAAGAAAAGTCTGTTCATATTTCCTATTAGCTTCTCCTGTATGACTCACTCCTCAGGCTTGGTTTGTTTGGATGACAGAATGAAAACAAGTGCAGAGGCTTCCCCCAGAAGTCAGAATACAATACATCAGCAGGACGTACTTCCCACCCAGCCACTGCAGGAAGCCAGGCAACAAGGGATTTCAGCTACACTGGCAAAGAAGCCATCTCATTTTTGATTGCTCTGGCTGAAAATTACTGTTTCCATCCAGCAGCCATAAAATTGCCAATCTGTATCCCCTGCACCTAACAAGCATCACATAGCAAGTGACAGTACTGCCGTAATTTACATGCCAGACACCAAGTAGTCCTCCATTATGTTCTACAAAATGCAGACTGTAAAACTGCAGAGTTGATAAATCAGTCTGCATCCACTCAATGCAAAAAGAAGCCAGAAACCCTAAGTGTAAACACATCCATCTTACAAAAGTCAGGACTAAGGGGAAAAAAAATGTTGCAACTACAATGATTATCATCTCCAGTGTTATAAATTCCAGAAAACTTGAAAACCCAAACACACAGACAGCTAACGGAAACCAGAGTCAACAAGGACAGATATGTCAAGGTAGGCAGTTCAGGAAGACAGTGCCTTGAACTTTGAGAAAAGGGCTATAATACTACCCAAGCTCTGTGCTTCTAAAACACTTGCTATAATTTAGGATTGCAGTCCTGGCCTATGTTACAAGAAACAGAAAGAAAAGACTGTATAATGCAATATTTATCCTTTTATTAGGCTTGCACAACATTCATTAGCAAGTGCAGAAGCAACATAAACATATTTGGAAAGGCTGCTCTGGAAACAGTTAAAATTTATCTTCACATCATAAATGAAAAAGATTGGCATGTACTCATTTTATAAAGCTGTTGCTCAATTTGATGGTACTGGACAACTAATCCTGACATGTCATAACTCTGAAGTGCAGTTCCCTCTGTGTATCTAGCAGCACACAAGCAAAAGAACAAAATTATACAGCATATTATTACAGTACCAGCAAACACAACAGTAACAGATAAAGCCAACATAACTTTTACGTTCTTTAAAAACATTAAGCACATTTGACTCTCCCAGCATTCATCTCTCACCAATCCAAAGAGAATCTCAAACAATGCCCAAAAATCAGGTTCCACCTACCTTACCATCTGTGAAGTAACGACAATTCATTTTTAAAAATTTGACAACCACAGGCTCATCCTCTTCTGAAGTAGAGGACAGGACTCTCTCCACTGGTTTGAAAGCCTTTCTTGCCAAATCAGCATCCTTAGAAAAGAAAAAGTTCAGTGCAGAGCAACAGGACCAGAATCATACTCTTCTAGATTTTTGAAAACTAAAAGGCCAGGTTCAAACAATTATTTTCCATTTGCATAAGGAAGAAAAGCAATGATCATATATGTAGGTATATATTTACACTTCCCACAGTATACATATGTATTTTCAATACATACAGTATGTATTGAAAAAAAAAACAACAAGCCCACCCTTGTAACCTTACAAGAAATTCCATACAAATAATAGCCAAGAAATTAAAAAACACCAAGACAGGTCAACTCATCAAAATTCAACTACACACTGTCATTAGGGAGAGGGCCTGCCCTGACACATCATCTACACTGAGGACGTCTGCTCACAGAGCGCTGGTGTGATTCCCCATGCAGATGGAATAGGGGTAAGGTTAAACACAACTATTCACTCCAAGCTTCTCTCCACTTTTGATTAGTATTGACTAATTGAAATTAGTCAATTAGTGATTAAATTACTAATTCCTTAATCTCAGCAGATGTTAAAGATGTTAAAGGCAGCTAAACTGCCTGTCTAAAAATCATCATGGCCAATCACCCTTCAAAAGAAAATGAAAGATCAACTATGCCAAGACCCTTCACAAAGATGAAATCCAGCAGTCTTGTCTAAAGACAAGTCTGTACATGGGTACCACCACAATTTAAACAGAAAGAAACTGACTGCTCAGACTAAATTAACAGCCTCCCTGTTCAAGGATGCCAGTGCAGGATCAAGGCTCTGGACTACAGAGCAGCATAAAGATCTCCAGTAGGAAACACTAAATAATTTTTAATATTTAGCTTTCTATTCTTTAAAGATTATGCACTACACAGTTTTTAGTAGTTTGGATAGACTCAGGACCCAACTGAACTTGTAATTGGTTTCCACACTCACAATTCCCTTAATTTGGACTATTTTTAAAATAATGGTAAATTTTGTAGTGCAGCAAACTAATTTAATGCAAGACACTACACACAAGGCCCATAAACTCGAAAACCACCTATTTACACAGCCTTAATTCTCAGCTTCAGAAAATATTTTGAGAATTTAAGACCAGTGAACCACGTCTGACTTACAGGGAGTTTATCATATTCAGCATCGGATGATGAAGGAGAAACAGGAGCACCAGGACTAGAAGACAGCCTCCCAGCACTTGTATCTGGCACAAAGAGAATCTAAATACAAACAGGCATTTCAAAACAGTGAGGCAAAAGCTTTAAAAGGTTATTAATTATGTTGTATTAGAAGGACAACACAATACTGATCACTCGTATCTGCAATGTACACCTTAAAAACATTCAGAAAAATGAAAGTAATTTCCTTATTCCAGCTTTTGTCTGCTGGGTATTCTTAGGCAAGCCACACCATCTCTCCATGCCTCAGTTTCCCTATCTGCAAATCAAGACACTTCAGCCTCCTCATGGCTGTGAAGCAGAAGCAGAGATCTGCATTTTATGAACCAAGTGTTAATCTCCCCACTTGCATTTCCAGTCCTGGAAATTTTAGGATTTAGGAGTCTCCTAAAAGGTCTCTCTCTACTTATTTCTCATCTTACCGGAGACTGACTCATACCCAACATAATGGCACAAAGGCATTTCAATTTCTGTCTAATTCTTTAATGTATTATAGATTGTATTTATCCAGACTTCCCAATAATCCAACGCTTACTGGAGACTGACTCATACCCAACATAATGGCACAAAGGCATTTCAATTTCTGCCTAATTCTTTAATGCATTATAGATTGTATTATCCAGACTTCCCAATAATCCAACACCCTTGCAACAGCTGTATTATCTTCTTGAGCTTCAGAGTGATCTTTAAGCTTTAGTGACAGTACATAAATAACAAGTCAGATATGGCAATTACGAAGCTTTCCCATCACACCAATTCCAAATAATAATCTAAGTTTCACTTTGAGGGAGGGCTTTAAATTAGTGTCTATTATCCTTGTATCCAAGTACCTGAAAGATACATGTAAGTACTAAAAAACTTCTAAATACATAGCCAATAATTATGTTTCAGGTATTAAAAAAACCAAACAAATAAATAAAATATTTACCTGGCCTGGCACAATTGTCTGTGTGAAAAGCTTATTGAGCTCCACAAGCTTGTTTGGGGTGACGTTGAACTTTAATGCTATGCTGTTTATGGTGTCCTGATTTCCAGCCTGAAGAAAGAGTTGATGACTAAGATACCATACTGAACACAGCACCACACAGAAACTAAACCCATTTATCAGACTGTTTGCTGGGATAGACTTGACAGGCATCTATTTAATAGCTTAGGTGATAAGCCAGTATAAAAAAAAAAAAAAGACAGAAATATTCTTTCACAATATACAGTAGAAAAAAATGTAGAGGTGTTACAGATGCCCCTCTCCTTTTCTCTTAAAACTTTAAAGCAGCACATCTGTATTTACAACTGGTCTGGCGGGGAGGTCATACACTGCAAAGTTCACTACACCTCCAGCAGCCACAGCATGTCAGGCATTTGTGCAGTTCCCAGATGGGACACCAGCTTACACAGAGGTCCTGTATGGAATGCACTTAGTGACCTGAGGGCTCACGCAGACAGAGCAGAGCTAGCCCACTGCTGCCCTGCTCCAGCTTACAGAAACATCTCATCCAACACAGCTTATCTGCCTGATGACTTAAGCAACACTGCAGAATGGGAGTATTTTTCAGATTAATAAAACCACTGCTCTACTAGAGAGCCATAATGCAGAAGTAAAAATGGAACTGGCAGCTGCAAGAGGGAGAGATCCCAGGTTGAGCAGAGATTCTGGATGTGACCCTAGCTCTCCCCTTACAGTGGTATTTGAATGGTATCAATAGGGGCAATCCCTACTGTGGTAAGTGCAAACTGAGAAAGAATTAGTGCTTACAGTTTTGTGCCACTGCCCCCCTCTCAACCTCAACAACTCCACTTTCAAAAAGCAGGCATGAACATACCACACACCAGTACTTACTGTATATTCTATGGTACCATGGGGCTTCTGAGAAACCATCTTCTTCTCTTTTTTTTCATTGCTTTTGTTTTGATTGTCATCTAAAGAGCAAAAAAAATAATCAAGTAATTGACTGTCAAGATGTTTACCTTTCAGCACGTTTGGAAGAGATCTAGAGTATGTGCAAATTGTAGCTGTGAAGAACAAGAGGACACATTAAAATGCCTATTAAGCCTTAAGATTAAATTGTAAGGCAAGAAAACTTCATCAAGCACAGCAGGATTAGTGATCGTTCAGGAACTCTGCAGGAGTAATGTATATATGATACCACAGCAATACACAACTGCTCCCATGGTTTCTTGGTGATTCCTGCACAGTTCAGCTGCTGGATACGCGTACTTTGTACCGTCAGGTGAACAGACACATATCTACTGCCTTGGTACAACCACAACAAATATTGGTTAGTCACCACTTCACAAGTACGATATATTTAAACACTACTTTAATCTCTGAAGGTAAAAGTGTGCCAAGAGTCCTGCAAAACATGCATGTATACAGTCAAGCCTGAGAAAGCAGAAAGTTTATGCAGAAGAGTTTTTCTGTCAGCTGCAATACACAGAACTCACGCAGCTGCAGAACCCAAACCCTTGCAGGACCCAAAAGGTGCTCGTGAGCTGTCAGCACCAGAGCTCTCTCCCAGAGCAGGGTAGAGATCTCCAACTCTTATGAGAGCAGTGGGTGAGTAAAGGCAAGGCTCAGGGAGGATGGAGCTGCCCAGCCAGCCCCAGCCCCATGGCTCCCCCTCCAAACCCAGCGCCCAGACCCACATACCTGGGGGAGGAGAGGACAGCATGCAGCCCCAGCTCCAGGAGTGGGGATGGGGTGCCAGGAGGCAATTCATGGCTCTCCCTGCCTGCCTGCCCCCAAGCCCTTAGAAAGGCCCCACTGCCTCTGGCAGGACACTGCAGCCTGGATGAAGTGGGGAGAGGCAAGAAGACAAGGCAAGGCTGGGCCCAGCAAAACCAGCAGCCAGGACCAGGAGCAGGGACACGCTGTCCAGGGTGGACTCCTCCTGTGGTCCAAGCCAGCAGCTCTGGAAGATCAGGGAGGAAAGGACTGGAAATGGCAGCGCAGGGCTTCTGACTTGCACATTCAGGCTTTGCTGCAACCTTTGCTATTTCCAGAGAGCAAGAGGCAGATAGTAAAAGGAAGGGCGAGGACTTGCCTGCCACACTGTAATGTACACAAGAAACAAGGAGGGGCCCAGCGTGCTGCACCTGAGCCTTCTGCTGGCCCATGTCCACAGCAAGATGAATGCTGTGGGGCTGCCTCAGTGTGCTGCTCTCTCAATCAGAAGAGACTCACAAGAGCCCAGGACATGCACCCAGGCGTTACTGCTGGCATATCCCACCCAGCACCTGCCAGGGATGCAGTCATGAGAAGTGCATTGGGTAGGGACACTACAGATAAGGCGACAGAGGCAGAAAGCATGTAGAAGGGAAATACAGTTTAAGTACATGCACATAGTGTATATGGCATGAAGGACAGCGGGAGAACAGGAAGATCAGGATAATGCTGGCTTTTCTCTGACTGCATTTTGAAACACAGCATCACTCAATGATCTCAGACACTTCATGTCTGAGACGACACCCACATTGAAACTTTTTAAATTAGCTTTCTTTCTGTGTTTTTCTGACCATTTGTGTTTTCACCATTGCCATGCCACCTTCTGCTGATCAAAGTGAAAGCAGTGTGTGGAAAAACAGATAATGGCAGCATCAGCAGGGCAGAGTATTAAACCATCAGAAACACAATGACAACATGACAAAAAATCTGACAAATACTGGATGTTTTCTTTATCCATTACGTACATAAAACTGCCAATATGGCACAATCCTGCCTGAAGAAACCCTGCCAACTACTGAGTTCACACTGTTTTGTACTTCCAGGAGATACCTCTTCAACTAATCCAGAATAACTCTAATTACAACTACATATCACACATGTAGGCAAACTACATGAACTTTTTGTGACCTTTCCCTGGAGAAAGAAAGGTAGACCTTTCAGCTAGACTTGATCTAGCTGAAAAAAGGAGACAAGTTTTCAGATATTTTACCCTTACTTATCTCTGAAACAGTACACAAGATAGGAAACAGTTAAGAGCAATAATCTCACACTATCTAGACATGCACCAGTAAGACCTTGGATGGGTGGGAATAAAAATAAAGTAGGCCAGAGAGATGTAGAGAGAAAGAGCTTTTGCACCTGCTGAATGAGAAGAAGTTTAAGTCTGTATGTAGCTGGGAGAAATAACAATATGCAATAAAAGCAGTTTCTCTGAAGAGCTTATAATATTTGCTATTAGCTGAACATTTTTTATTCCAAAGCTTTGTGTTTAACAATAGAGAGTTGACCACAACAGCAACCACTATGCCCCTGTGGCACAAAAAGACCACAAAATAGCAATACAGACAACTTTCTCCCCTGCAGCTTCCTACCTGGGAGGTAGGACACTTCTGTCTTCCCCTGTGAAATATCAGTATTTTCCAGGTTCTCCTAATTGCACTGCCTACTAAGTTTGGAGATTAGGAAATACTATCCAGGAAAATGCTATAACCTGTATAACATTTACATAATCTATATATACTATATTGACAGGATACATATAATATCCTCTAGTTCTTGGTTGACAGAACTGTGAACCTGTTTGTTTAGTAGGGTCCTGAACATAACTGTGGTACAACAGAGAAGAGTGAACTAAATGTGCACACAGAGTTGAAAACCTCTAACTGTAAGACAAGAAAAAATGAAGTTTGAAAGACGAGTTTAGATTAAACAAAATACTGTGTGTTTAGTAGGGTCCTTAACATAACTGTTGTACAACAGAGAAGAGTGAACTAAATGTGCACACAGAGTTGAAAACCTCTAACTAAGACAAGAAAAAATGAAGTTTGAAAGACAAGTTGAGTTTAGATTAAACAAAATACTGTGCTTTTTGTCAATAAATGTTAATAAATCCTAAATAAGTTGAACAATTAGACACTTTTTTTTCACACCTATGTACAAGAATATGTGTTGTACAGTCTGGTTAGCTACAAGCTAAAAGAAGCAGTCACAGTCTGTAAATTTATTTGTTTCCTGAAACCAAAATCTGACATTTTGTGTTTGGATACTTTTGTCTTCTACCCCCTACTGCCCTCCTTTTTTGTTCTATCTCAGCAACAAAGGGTTCAGAACACTGTCCATGCAGTCCATACTAGTAGTTACTAGTCAGGTTTGGGCAACTCAAAACCACATCCTAATTATTTGAATAGTGTGAATTCTTAACTAGTCTATGTTTTTAATTGTGCATAAAAAGATTTAGAATAATGAATTTAAAATTTCAGACCTTCAGAAATAAAAACCGTAATGAATCCATTAAACCTGACAGGTACTGCTCATGTGATGAGGCCGAGGTCACAAATCGTGCTCTACATGAATGGTTTACAGCAGAGTGACTGGCAAGCCTGCCAAAGCACCACATTTAATTGCTTAAACACACACAATATACTGTCTCTCCAGTTCCCCTAATCTTCTCTCATTCCTCCTCCTGAAAGCCAAACATTTTCTGACGTGATCTGAAGGCAGGCAGCTCTTGTATAGCCACAAAGGCACCCAGAGCACATGCAGGCATGATGGAAGCCTCAGGAACCACGTTTCTTTCAGTCAGAACTAGATCAAGAGCTCCACAGGCTTTAAACAGCTGCCTTTGGCTACTTTTTGAACTTGAACACACCTAGTGGTGAAATGACTCACGGTTCTGCATCCCAAGTTTTCCTGCACTGCACGTACACTGGAGATGGGATTGCACACCCATGAGAAGTGACTAGGTGTTAATGCAAATTTGATCACACCGCATTTTTAGGCAAAAGGCAGAGTGGGTGGACTGAACCTCTCTGTGGTTTTGGGAAACTTGTAAATTGAGAATTATGTAAAAATAGTAAAATAATAAGCAGTGAGAAGAAGAATGCCAAGTGAGAACAGGCAAGAAAATACAGGCTTACTGAAAACAGACAGGTCTAAAATGGGAATTTTTCTGCCTGTAATGATATATTTGTATCTCAGTTTCTTAGCAGACTCTTGACATTTCGTTTAGCAGTGTTACAGGAAACCTTACAAAAAAGTTACCTAAGAGTAATTTGGAAACCAGCTATTGAAGGAGTATGATAAAGAGGTCAATCAGTTTATCACCCAGAAGACCTTGACGCGTGATAGGAGAATTACACCTCTGCAACTGTGTAAATAGCTCTGTAAGTAGATAGAACAGGTCAAGGAGCATCAGGAGTCTCCCGGGCTGCCCACATGGAGCACAGACCCATCATCACTGCAGGCTGGTGCCATCACCACTGCTGCTGCCCAGCCCAAATGAGTGTGAGGTGTGGCAGCGCTGGCAGTGACAGCTGGACCTGCCAGCCTTGTGTCTGGTACTGCTAGCAGGAATGCCCGAGCAAAAAAGGGGACAAGGGACTGACTGCTTTCCACACCTGGCAAACAAACTCAGTAGCCTGAGAGGACAGAGGCAATGGCACACTTGGTGCAAAAGTCCATTTTACTCATTAATTTCTGTCTTACCAAAGATTTAGGCTTTGGGAAATCTTTCCCCTGATTAGCCCCCAAATCACAGATTTCCCAGAGTAACACCATTCACTGAACTGTTCTGTTCTTCCAAGAGCTCCACACCACTTCTATGCCAATGAGCCCCACGCTAACATGTGCTCATAAAGCAGTGCTTCCCTTCTTGTACTTCATACTTCACTGAATGTCCTAATTAATGCTGTTTTAAGGGTGAAAAAATAAATAGTCATTATTCACCTTCTGCATGCCATTCATGATGTCACACATTTCCAGCATCTTTTCTCAGTTCATTCACTTTTTCCAGCTGACTAATACTGTGATACTTTGGACTCTCCTATTTCTCTGATCACACAGGCTTGTGTGATTGATAGCTTTTCTTCTCCTACTACATCCTTTTTGAGTTGGAGGAAGTAAAACCAAACACAGATTTTAAGCTATGATAAAAACAATAACATATGCTAGTGACAGAAAAAAGGGTTTCCTTAAA